CAAATGGGGGGAGGAGGGGAGATAGTAATGACAAAACAAGCAAAACTTAATTGATCTTAATGGCCTTGAGATTTATTTCTTGTACTGAGGTCACACTAGCCTGATGCCAAACATAAATATCTAACCTTCAAACAGCCGTCCCATGTCTGATGTTAAACATAGATATCTAAACTTCAAACAGCCGTCCCATGTCTGATGTTAAACATAAATATCTAACCTTCAAACAGCCGCCCCATGTCTGATGTTAAACATAGATATCTAACCTTCAAACAGCCGTCCCATGTCTGATGTTAAACATAGATATCTAACCTTCAAACAGCCGTCCCATGTCTGATGTTAACCATAGATATCTAACCTTCAAACAGCCGTCCCATGTCTGATGTTAAACATAGATATCTAACCTTCAAACAGCCGTCCCATGTCTGATGTTAAACATAGATATCTAACCTTCAAACAGCTGTCCCATGTCTGATGTTAAACATAGATATCTAACCTTCAAACAGCTGTCCCATGTCTGATGTAAAACATAGATATCTAACCTTCAAACAGCCGTCCCATGTCTGATGTTAAACATAGATATCTAAACTTCAAACAGCCGTCCCATGTCTGATGTTAAACATGATGTTCTCTCAGGTATTTCTCCACAGAAGCACGTCTACTGCCACCGCCCCTACGCGGACGAAATAGAAAAAAATAAATCATATATAATTCAAATGCCTTCTCCCCCCCCCCCCTATGTTTCGTCCCTTCCCTAAGAAGATTGTCTAAGAGACACGGCAAATATAGATATTTACCTCTTATGTCATCAATCTAAACATTGTATTTTATGTCCAGTGTTTCTTCCAGACTTTTTTCTCCGGGGTGGGGGAGGGGGGCACTTGAAATTTTCGGCGGGGGGGCGGCAGACTTTTTTCGGGGGGGGGGGGGGGGCGACACTGTTAAAAGTATAAATTTTCTATATAAATTATATAAATTTCATTTCGTTTGGGGGGCGGTATAGATGCCTGGAGAGATGCCTGGAAGAAACTCTGTTTATGTCTAACCAAAAAGACCACAATAGCGGCCTAATGTTCCCTGTTAAAATGCTTGTATGATATGGTTGTTGACTAAATGCCCGACATCTGTTAAGATGTGTGTATAATATGGTTGTTAACTAAATGCCCGACTTCAACTAGCTAACGTCGATGCCACCTAGTTAATACAGAAGTTATTGCCCCTTATGTTAGTAAATAAATGTAGACATTTAAATTGAATCTATATGACTAAGGTAATATCTAATGAGATCGTCATTAAACTAAAATCAACTCATTACACACAGGAAAAAAACGGGCAAAGTGATTTAAAGAAAAAGCAAGAACCAACTCGTCTTTTATTAAGAGACCAGATCATATTATTCATGATGAGAGAATTCGGGCCCAGCCTACATACATCCCGTGTTATTTAACAATTGTATAGCCCCCCCCCCCCCCCCCCCATAGCATGACTCATGGCAATTAAACGATAAACCGCCACCCGCTATATCCCGCTAGCTAAAGACGCGTATCGAGTTAGATCATCTATAATGGTTACCTGTAACTGGATTCGTTAGTGAATGAAAATGTGTTTTATTTTTTATTTCTCCCAGTTTGTAGGCCAATCTAAATTTATCTCAAAACTTCCGGGAAGAGAATCCAGGAGAGAGAAAAGTGTAGCATATCTATTATCTAGATCAGTAGAAGTGTTTCGTGGTTATTCAACGGTTCAATCCACCGAATTTCGTCCGTTACGTAGATAAACTAGGTCGCTCGCTGACTATCCCTCCCCTAATCTTGGAGCTCCCCCCGCCTCCTCCCCACCCGGCTGTAGGTGCCCCGGTTCGTGTCTGTCAGAGGGAAGAAGGGCTGGCCGGTAAATGTCAGTCTTCTCATGTAGTTCCCACGGTCAGGCTCGTGCTCCATGTCATGTCAAGTAAGTCTGTCATTTCATGTGTCATGTTATGTAAGTCTGTCATTTCGTGTATCATGTCAAGTAAGTCTGTCATTTCATGTGTCATGTGGCAAGTAAGTCTGTCATTTCATGTGGCATGTCAAGTAAGTCTGTCATTTCATGTATCATGTGGCAAGTAAGTCTGTCATATCATGTGTCATGTGGCAAGTAAGTCTGTCATTTCATATGTCATGTCTTCTCTTTGTCAGCTCATATATCAATACTTTTCTAAGCTGTGAAATTAATTTCACCTACAACAGAAATTCGCGAACTTAGTGTTCGGGAACTTAGTATCGTGTCAAGGATTCATTTTCTACCAGAAGTTAATTGTATGAGGGGGAGGGACAAAGAAGCTAATAATTAAAACGGATGTCTACGTTAAGTGTTTCAGCGATAGTCAACAATGCGCACCACGTTGTGTAGATCAGGTTCAGTTTAGTGCAGGCAACGTTCAGCGGTTACTGTAACAGTCGTATGTTGTAGTATCAAGCTGTGAATTACCGGATACAGTGCCGGCAAGCACCGTGTAACAAGCGTGTGGTGTAATGTCAGACCGTGAACTGCCGGACACAGTTCCGTCAAGCACTGTGTAACAGGCGTATGTAGTAGTATCAAGCTGTGAATTACCGGACACAGTGCCGGCAAGCACCGTGCAACAGGCGTATGTAGTAGTATCAAGCTGTGAATTACCGGACACCATTCCGGCAAGCACTGTGTAACAGGCGTATGTAGTAGTATCAAGCTGTGAATTACCGGACACAGTGCCGGCAAGCACCGTGCAACAGGCGTATGTAGTAGTATCAAGCTGTGAATTACCGGACACCATTCCGGCAAGCACTGTGTAACAGGCGTATGTAGTAGTATCAAGCTGTGAATTACCGGACACAGTGCCGGCAAGCACCGTGCAACAGGCGTATGTAGTAGTATCAAGCTGTGAATTACCGGACACCATTCCGGCAAGCACTGTGTAACAGGCGTATGTAGTAGTATCAAGCTCTGAATTACCTGACACATTCCAATTCAGCTCCATGTTATGAATAAGCTGGTCTGAGCTGCATAACATTAGCATGAAAAGCCAGCGCTACGTGTTAGTAACGGGGTAGACACACTCGAACTTTACCCAGCTAAATGAGCGTGTTTCGCCATTCGTGTAACACGTTATGGTGTGTAGCGAGCACATCAAGTGATGAGCTATTTATAGCCGACGGTGTTTACGTTTAGGGAGCCGACTAGCTCGATGGAGTAGCCTATGTTACCGAGTCGGACACGTTGACTGTCTTAAACAAATCCGACACGAAACTTATGAAACTGTATCAGTGCTCCTCTTCATCCATTCTCATCTTATTCAACTTTACACTTCAGTCTCGGCTACACCGTTGTCGACAAGGACAGGATTTTAATGTGTTTGTTACAACAACAAAAAAATGTGCATAAGTCACCACCCGGTTAGCTTATCATAGAATGACAACAACAAAAAAAAATGAAGAACATGAAGAGAGACAACTGCTGCGGCGAACCTTCGGGATTATCGCCCCTATGTAAACATCGCGACGCTAGCGGTGTTTAAATAAAGCCAGGGTTGTGGCAGAGTTGTTGCACTTGAACACAGCCCCTATTTGCTGGATGATTAACCCGGTCTGTGGTGGCACTTTATCCACACGTAGCCAGCCTTGGTGGATCTATGTAGGCTTTTCCACACAAACATAATATACACCTAATATATAATACACATATACATACAAATACACATACACACACACTTTTTTATATATATATATATATATATATATATATATATATATATATATATATATATATATATATATATATATATATATATATATATATATATATATATATATATATATATATATATATATATATATATATATATATAGGTTCCACTATCATATAGAAGTAAACTATAGATTGCGCTTGTAAGCCAAAAACCTTCAAAAATACCTCGATTAGAAAGTGACTGTAAATTTAAAAATTGACTTAAACTGATTTCGATTATTTATTGTCCATTGCATTTTCTTTCAACTACTCGAAAAAGATCAACCAGTTAGATGTAAATAATAAAAAGCGAAATTATTTCAATATAAATGGACTTTAAAACGATTTAAATGTGCTAAACATTAGAAGAAATATTTAACTCTTGTCATTTACTGATCTGGTTTCTACAGCAATGTTTTGTTTTGTTTATATAACGATGAACACAGTGAAGTTGGAAAAACGATGTATATTTTTTTCTCTGACGATTTCTCAGTAAAAAAAAACGTGAATTGGTACTGATTGAAAAGCATACATACCGAACTAAAAGCTTTTAGGTGCGGACACATATTTTTCTCAATGCTGGGTGATTTGTTTGCATGCAGTTAAAAAAATAGAATCAATAATTTATCAAAGTATAGGAACTACACTCTAGTGGTATATTGAAAAGGTTTTGTACATGTGACTATGTCATGTGCTTCTTTATTATGTTCATTATACTTAGGGCTTATCCTTTGGTACATTCATTATACTTAGGGCCTAGGGCTTATCTTTTAGTGTATACTTAGAGCTTATCCTTCAGTGTATACTTAGGGCTTATCCTTCAGTATATAATTAGGGCTTATCCTTCAGTATATACTTAGGCCTTATCCTTCAGTATATACTTAGGGCTTATCCTTCAGTATATACTTAGGGCTTATCCTTCAGTATATACTTAGGGCTTACTGTGGGTTACTTACATATGTTGTTTTCTATCCCCAGACTTACATTATGTTGTTTTCTATCCCCAGACTTACATATGTTGTTTTCTATCCCCAGACTTACATATGTTGTTTTCTATCCCCAGACTTACATATGTTGTTTTCTATCCCCAGACTTACATATGTTGTTTTCTATCCCCAGACTTACATATGTTGTTTTCTATCCCCAGACTTACATATGTTGTTTTCTATCCCCAGACTTACATATGTTGTTTTCTATCCCCAGACTTACATATGTTGTTTTCTATCCCCAGACTTACATATGTTGTTTTCTATCCCCAGACAAGTACCAAGTCAGTGAGACGACAGAGAGCGCCCCACCCACACAGAACAAGCCTTGTAAAATGGGGTGGAAAGTCTTCGGCCTCGTGACCAGCATCCTCTTTTTGGTCATCGCTCTCTCAATCACCGCCATCACGCTGTCCGGGCTCTCTGGGAAATCGGACGCCGCCCCGACACCGCCAACCGTGGACACGCCGTACGGGCGGTACGTGGGGGTGCCAGATATCAGCAACTTTACTGGGCAGAACTTCGTCACCTATAGGTCTATACCATTTGCCAAACCCCCTGTTGGTACCCTGAGGTTCCAGCGCCCCCAGCCCCTGGAAAGACACGAGAGCACCCAGATTCTCAACTCCATTACGTTCAAGGTCTCGTGCCTGACTGAAACCAAGTTGAACTTTGCCCCCAGCGCCTACGGCGAAGACTGCCTGTACCTGAACATCTACGCCCCTGAAGTCAAAGACCCAGCCTTGAAATACCCAGTCATGGTCTGGCTTCACGGTGGGGGCTTCGTGGCGGGCTCCACTTTTCCTGACCCTATTAAGCTGATGTCACGTGGTAACGTGATTGTCGTGACTGTCAATTACAGACTCTCTGTCTTTGGTTTTTTGACGACTATGGACAACTCGCTTCCGTCGAACAACGGGATCTGGGACCAGTACATGGCGCTGAGCTGGGTGAAAGAGAACATTCAGTACTTCAATGGAGACAACGGCTCCATCACGCTGTTCGGTCAATCTGCAGGCGCCATCAGCACGGGCCTGCACTGTTTCTCGCCCATCTCCTCCAAGCTTTTCCACAAAGCGATTCTCCAGAGTGGCTCCGTCACGTCCATCATCACGCGCAACGCTAAGCAGAGGGCTCTGGAACTGGGCGCTAAAGTGGGCTGCAGTCAGGCGCAAGGCCAGGCCTTTGCTGATTGCCTGCGTCAGGTGAGTGCCTCGACCCTGCTCAACAACAGCATCCCGTCTGTGTACAACATCTCCCTGGCCCAGAGGCAGTCGGACTTCCTCTGGCAGCCCGTGGTCGACGGTCAGATCATTCCATACGAGCCGTTGACCATGCTTAAAAACTTGACCTACCTGCGCGAGATTAACTTCACAGGCAAGGATTATCTCCTGGGGACACAGTACAACGAGGGCGGATTAATACCCGAAAATTTTCTGAATCCGGTAAAACTAGTCGAACTGTCCAAAGTTGAATTTTTCAAGGACCTGGTGACCTACTTGCTGTACGCCAGGTACGGGATTAAAGACAGCGATTATCCCAGGCTCAGGGACGCCGTGTACACGTTTTACACGGGTTCGTCTAGTCCAGCCACGCCCTTGAACTCCCAGTTTGTCCAAGACCTGGCCGGGGATGTCATGTTTGTCGTCCCCGCCATCGAGACGGCTCTAGCACTAACCAGGTCTCTCAACCAGACGTCGGTGACGTCACCAGACTCCGCCCAGCCCAAGGTTTACATGTACAAGTTCGACTACTGCCCGAACCCCCAGGAGGCGACCCGCTTCCCCTGCATGACCCACGGCTCCGAGTTCTCGTTTCAATTCCCCAAGGCTCCCTTCTCTGACGTCACTCAGGAAAAGTTATCGAACACCTTCATCGATCTTCTCACAACTTTTGCCAGGAGTTCGAACCCCGAGACAGTGGTGCCGAGTGGCTGGCCGTTGTTCGAGCCGGGAGATCAGCTGTACCTAAGTCTAGATGAGAACCCCGCTAGACGGCGCTACCCATACGACTACAGGCTGAAGTTTTGGCTTGACACTGTACCAAGTTTATTAAACTAGTGGCCTCACGCTCATTACATTAGTTCGTGTGTGTTTGTGTATATGTCTGTATGCATGTTGGCGACATCTAGTCTAAATATACTGTTCCACTATCATTTGTTACCAACGACAACGGTGTTCCATGTTGAGTAGCTCTGTTTCCAGTAACAGACATGTGGAATGTTGTAGGCTAACGATTTTGCTACTTTGGCGTTCTATCATTTATGTATGACTTTATACGCCCCATTTCATTGGACTTACTTGATGAAAATAACTATTGTTCTAAGAATCCTGTTCACAGCTGTTTATATATAACGACTACAGCTCCAAAATTTTGTGTGCGATTTTCAGGTGGTTTACGTACCTCAAATCATCAAGCATTAAACTTGACGACATAATTTCTTGTATCTGATCATCAAGCATTACACTTTACGACATTTTTTTTTAAACTCGAAATAAACCACAAGTGGTCAATCTCCGCATCAACGTGTGTCGCTCTCCACACTGTCATTCAACTGTCCCCTGTCAATTTGACCACCCCTCTCCACACTGTCATTCAACTGTCCCCTGTCAATTTGACCCCCCCCCCCCCCCCACCCCTCTCCACAACGTTCATTCTTCGTTTTTAAATTTGGTGTTGGAAGATGTTCCCTCCAACACAATTAAGTATTACGTGTCAAATTGTTAGGTGCCATATAGGCCGTTGACTCTAATTTCAGCCTGCTTTTCTTTTTGGATTTGCTTCCATAGCCTTTGTCCAACCAAGAACAAACTACATGGCAGCAGTTGTTTGATATAGGAGTTGTCTCTCCTAGAAGAGTGGCTGTCGAGCATCATCTTCCGGGGTTTCGAACACGGGATTTTTTTAAAGTTCAGCTTAACCCCAACACGCCGACCTACAAATGTCATTCAACTTTGAACACCCCCCCCCCCCCCCCCCAACATTCAACACTTAACGCCTTTTTAAAAATAAAACGCAATTCTTTCTGGATATTGACTCCACTAGAGCAAAAAACAGTTTGCCTCTTATCTTTATAATCTGATAAGGATATTTGTGGTCCAACTATCTCAATCAGCACTTACTCTAGCTCAGGGGAGACAACTCCAGTAATCGTGTAGGTGGCAAGTTATTTTCATTTCTTGGCCATTTAATAAATGCAAAAAGTTTAATAACGCAGTGGTATGGGCTGAAAAAGACATTTTCAACCCGAACTTTGTTGTAACAAGACATTTTCATTCAGAACTTTGTTGTAACAAGACATTTTCAATCCTCAGTTTGATGTAACAAGACATTTTCACTCAGAACTTTGTTGTAACAAGACATTTTCACTCAGAACTTTGTTGTAACAAGACATTTTCAATCCTCAGTTTGATGTAACAAGACATTTTCACTCAGAACTTTGTTGTAACAAGACATTTTCACTCAGAACTTTGTTGTAACAAGACATTTTCAACCCTCAGTTTGTTGTAACAAGACATTTTCACTCAGAACTTTGTTGTAACAAGACATTTTCACTCAGAACTTTGTTGTAACAAGACTTTTTCAATCCGAACTTTGTAGTAACAAGACATTTTCACTCAGAACTTTGTTGTAACAAGACATTTTAATTCAGAACTTTGTTGTAACAAGACATTTTCAATCCTCAGTTTGTTGTAACAAAACATTTTCACTCAGAACTTTGTTGTAACAAAACATTTTCACTCAGAACTTTGTTGTAACAAGACATTTTCAATCCTCAGTTTGTTGTAACAAGACATTTTCACTCCTCAGTTTGTTGTAACAAGACATTTTCACTCAGAACTTTGTTGTAACAAGATTTTTTCAATCCGAACTTTGTAGTAACAAGACATTTTCATTCAGAACTTTGTTGTAACAAGACATTTTCAATCCTCAGTTTGTTGTAACAAGACATTTTCATTCAGAACTTTGTTGTAACAAGACATTTTCACTCAGAACTTTCTCATAAAATGTCTTTCTTTAATTTTACACAGCTTTTCACACGAACGAATTGAAGTCTTGCTGAATTAACTCTCTCACAGAGACAAACTTGCTCACACAAACAGACAAACCTGCTCACATAGACAAACTTGCTCAGACAGACAAACGTAATGCACACAGACAAATTTGCTCAGACTGTGTAAACACAGACATTAACCTCTCTTTAAATCACAGAGCTTAAAGCCAAGACGCACTTGATATAAGAAATGTCAACTTGACTAAAAATTGTTAACATACTTTTAAAAAGAACACTTACTAAAATAAAATCCTATGCTAATATTTGATTATACCAGACTCCGACCATTGTCCGGAAAACGTTAGACGGCGCGTGTTAAGCGCGTGTTTTATTGGCCTGTGTTTGATCTAGCCATTAAACCGTGAACTCCACATCAAAGATGTGTTAACACAAACACATTTGTCAACACAGGTCGAGTGGCAGAGCACATGATCGCTGGATCGTTAGTCATGTGTTTGGTTCACTGACGATTGAACTTCGACCTCTGGATGTTCTGCCTCGCTCCATCACGTAACAGCTGTTCTAATGATACAAATACACATGATGTTATTTTTGGCTAATGGAAATGTGACAAGTTTAGTGGCGGGTACAATGACAAGTGATGTTCATCAAGATTCAGACTCAATAAGACTAGTCCAAAAGGGGTAGAAAAATTAATTTAAGCTGCAGTATTAAATTATATACAGTCAAAAGTTAGGAAAATAAACGACTGCAAGGCTTTTCACATTGATTTAACTATTTTCTATATCAATTTTGTGGCACCGAAATAGAAAATCTAATGAGATAGTAACTGGTAAGAAGCTCCACAAACCTTTTCAATTTATTTATTTGGGAAGGGGGTGGGGCGCTTTTTCAAAGTCAGGAATAACTATAAATAGAATGGGAGGGAGGGGCGCAAAAATGTATAGTTCCCCCCCCCCCCCGGGCGCCGGAATCGGTCTCTACGCCTCTGTCTCGAGATCGGATAGCGGGCTCGAGTCTGTAGGACGACCCTTTGTCCACTAAACTCTGATGGGTACCTGACTCATGTTAGGGAAAACATAGCTGAGCCAGAGGCGTAGCGACCCTTCCCGGCGCCCGGGGACAAACTTTCGATTTGCTCACCCCCCCCCCATCCCTCAAACTTTTGATTTACACCCCACATCCCCTCGAACTTTTGATTTACACACCCCACTCAAACTTTCAATTTGTTTTTCCAACCCATTTTGGCGCCCCCCGAAGGTCGGCGCCCGGGGACATATGTGCCCCCCCCCCCTGCCCCGTCCCCCCTCGCGACGCCTCTGAGCTGAGCATAGTGCTGACCACACTAGCTCTCACAAGCCAAGGTCTCTGAAATAGATTAACTCTACTTCATCTGCCCCATGTGTCTTGGGCACGAACGTGAAAAGAACATGGTCTAGTTTAATACAATTTTATTTATCCTGTCACAACAATCTTGAAAGACATAGTTAATCCTCACAAAACCAAAACCTACCGAAATTATTTTTTTAAAAGGTGTGTGTCAATTTGGTAAGTTCGGGACTTACGTGCAGTAGTGCCTATTAAACTACATTCACTTCAAAAACGTGTCATACAAAGCATATTGTCTTAAAGGACTAACAAAGGGGATCCGGACAAAAGGCCGACATGGACAAAAGGCCGACACGGACAAAAGGCTGACATGGACAAAAGGCCGACAAGACAAAAGGCCGACTGCCAAAAGGCCGACAAGACAAAAGGCCGACTGCTAAAAGGGGGGGGGAATAGTGATATTTTATGAATCGTTTTAGGATTAATGGAGTTCACCTTTTTTGTGATGTGTGACAAAAGGGTGTTGGGGATTTTTTTTTTTAAATAGTCTTTTGAGGAAGGCAACCAAATTAAATTCTAAAGGGGAGGGGTAGATGGTTGCGTGCAAAATTTTATTGTAATTGTAGTCAATAAAAATAATTCCGATGTCAGTTGAACTTTATCGTAAGAATTTAAAAAAAAAAAGAATATTGAATTTTTAATCATTATATAGGCTCTAATATTTCTTTTTGGTGATAAAAATTATAATTTAAATATTAGCCCAAATGCAATTTGAATTTTCAACGTAGGCATATGAGGTAAATAAATACTAAATTATACTGCTATAATTCTAAAGAGTTAACTACCCTTAATATGTAGCTCTTTTTCTTTGCAGCATACGAATGTAAAGTTCATTCAATGATTGGGGGAAAAAAATTAGACCAAAGTTCTTACTAGGCTACACATACTAGATCTAGATTCTAGGTCTTTCTTTCTATGTAGCTTAGCTGTGACCAGTATGACATAGCAAAACCAAAATAAAATGACAGCGCTGGTGAGCTTATCACCTTTGCAGCAAAGAAAAGTATCTGCAATCATCGGTGCATGTGTAGCTGACGCTGCTGGTAAGAGTAAAAACTAAAAGTAAAAGTTAATATTAATAATTCTTTTTAGGTGCTTAAAATCGGCTGAGGCTAGATCTAGATCTATCTAGATCTAGATCTAGAATCTAGTAATGTAAGAAAAAGTTGCCTCATTGTTATGTTATAAGAATATAAGGCTTTAATAGAAGTATTTAAGCCAGTAGCGTACGCAGGGGGGGAGCAGGGGGAGCGGCCGCTCCCCCTCTGGCCATTTTCAGCAAAGTGGCGCCTTTTTGGAAACTTTTTAAACTCAAAGTTTTAAACAATGATATTTGTTAAAAAAATAGTTTTGGTCGGCACATTTATGTAAATAACAAGATTTCTTTTCATGCAGCAATTAAGCATTATTGTACTAGTCTAGTAGTGTCTTACAGTTTGGGCGATAGTGATTACGATTACAAATTATATGAAACAGTTACAACCCCCCCTCCCCCATGGACCCCTCTGTAAAAAAATATTGTCATAATACCACTGCTACTTATTTAAATCTATTTCTGTAATATATATTTGTGTAATTTATATTTGTGTAATATATATGTATGTTTAGAACAGTCATCTAAATACTGACGCTAGGTTCACTATGAGTTGGTTATCACCCCCCCCCCCCCCCCACACACATCACCACCACAATGTCACACCTAGGAATACACTGGGTTGGATAATTGACCTAAAGTGAACGGACAGTGGTGAATGAAGTTGAACCCCCCCCCCCCCCCCCCCCCCCGAACTGATCTGTCAAGTACATGTAGAAACATGCGTAATGATGTACCAAAGTACCATGCCGCCAGAAAATTAGCTTTTTAAACGTAAAACTCTGTGAATATTGTTTTTGCAATTACCAGTAAAAAGGTGTGTGATCAATATAGTGATCTAACCCTTACCTATCACTATGTTAAAAAAATGATCTTTAAAGAACACAAAGAAGCAGTAGTTAATTAAAATGTATGATCTGAGCTAAAAGACCGATACTTAGTTAAATGTAGGCTGATATTCCGAATGTTTTTCTAATACGTCGAAAAGCGTGCTTTTATTCCAACTCAGATTTTAAAAACTTTCATTATGCTATAATACTTTAGCATTTATGATGACGATATATTAAATTCTGATTATAGACAAAAACTTTTTGTAAACACGAATAGTGTTAAACAATTTCATTATATTCTAAAGTAGGCCTAATTATTTATTTGTTTTGACATTTATAATTAAATGTGTAGATATATACTTATTTATATTAAGATAGTGATTATTTCCCCTATTTCACTTGGCTTAAATAATTTCCCAGGAATTATTATGTAAGAATTTTTTTTTTAAGAATTACAAAACAGATTGTGTTACGTTCATTGTTTTTGGTTGTAGTGTATATATATATATATATATATATATATATATATATATATATATATATATATATATATATATATATATATATATATATATATGTGTGTTTAGATTGATACCATTTTTGTTTTGTCGGCCTACATTGTGTGTTTTTTCTTATTTCTTCAGAGTGCTACTTTCAATTTATTTTACATCATAGCGAAGTAATGGCATACAGCTAGAATTATATATATATATATATATATATATATATATATATATATATATATATATATATATATATATATAGGCCTATATATATATATATATATATATATATATATATAATACACGTAGGCCTATATAGAATGTGTTAAAAATTCGGCGCCTTTTTTTGCTCTTTTCGCTCCCCCTACAACGGAAACCTGGATACGCCTCTGATTTAAGCTTATAGATTGACGAATCCAAATAGCACCTCTTTGGAGCGATTAAGTTAACAGAAATAAATAAAGTCATGAACCCAAGAACTTAGAAGCCTTGCAACTTATTAAACTTATAATATTAAATATATGAGTAAATACTTAGATCTATTATACTAACATTAATCATTTAAATACACTCAATGAGTACAGAGAATTTATACTGTTAGCACATACCCCCCACCCCCCCCCCCCCCCCCCCCCCCCCCCACGCGCATAAAGTGTTTAATATTTTGCTTGCGATTATGGTTGGTAATGGGGAAAATCCTTGAAAGTGGACGCATAGGGGTGGGGGGGGTGTCTAAAATCCAAATTTTAGTGGATGTCGTAAATGGATGACCTCTCAGTCCGAAGCGTTAACATATGGTAAGTAGTAATATCAATAGATTTAATATTAAAAACTGCTAAAGTTACAATGGAGCAGCTGGGACAGATAGAATGACTCACATTGTAAGGCCCTGTTTTGTAAACCAACAGATATCACTTTATGATGTGATCTTATAAAATCTACTTAAACTTTAATCTGCCTATGATGGGGAATCTGCTCAATTAGGAAATCATGAGTTATTATGCATTTTTTTGCTTTTATTTATAAAATGTTGACTAAGAGAAAATAAACGGATTAAAATGGAAACAAGAATTCAAGATTCATTGATTTTGTTATAGCTATTACTAATTTAAATTATTTTAAAATTTAAATTATTTAAGCAGGCATGCCTTTTTGAAATAGTAATATATTCTTTTTTTTTCTTAATTTACAAATGGTTTGGATGCCTCCTGAATGTCGACTGTAGAAATTGACATTTAACAGACCAGATATGCCTATTCAGTCGTCCGTGAATCTTTTTGATGCAAAGCTCGATGTTTCTGTTTTGTCTTTTACTTTTTACTTGTATTATTTATAATGAATACAATAATTTAAAAAACTGTGAGTGTGAAACATGCATGTTTGAATAGTTATAATAACTAGAAAGAATAAAGTGTGTACTCTTTTTCTCAAAATGTGGAAAATATGTTAGATTAAGTCTATAAAACAGCTGAGGGCCATTTTTACATTTGTTGTGCAAAATGAACATTTTCACTTTCTGCTGTTTATGAAACAGTACATCAAAAACCATGTGCTTTTGCAAACATATTAACCCCTTCCATACCATTTCCAAATGTATTCATTGAAAAAAATTTCCCCAGCACAACCATTGCACTGGATTTACAAAGATGAAGATATGCAAAATGTTATAGGAGATAGGGAGGAAATAGAATTCACAACACCATCAGCTAATCCTTTTTATAGAATAGCAAATGGAAGAAACACATGTTATGGAGACCAAGCCTTTGTAATGTTAAAATCATTAGTAGATTCAAAGGGTAAGTCATGCATGAAAAATAACTATCTTTTTGTGCAATATATATATGTTTGTGTGTGTGTAAAGAGAGAGGCAGATTTAGAGAAGCTGTATGTGTTGTTTATCGTTATTTAAAAATTTAAGACATGATATATTCACCCCAAATATTGGTGGCCAGGAGTGACTTATACACTTAACAATTTCTCTAGTCTGGTCACTTAAATTAAAAGTGAACAGGAAGAATTGTTTGAATGATTATGACTTTTCAAGTATTTTTATTACAGGGCTAGATGTTGCTACATTGATACAGGACACTTACAACTTCTTTGGGCCAGACTCAGAATATGAAAGTAAGATCTAAGTTTTCAATCTTTTCTTCAAATGGTCTGGTTTCAAAAGGCTTTTAAGGAATAAACTAGATAAACAGTGTAATTCTATTGGATATTAGCCTGTTGGTAGGGAGCAAAAAAAATACACTACACCTAATCGCCCTGTTAGTCCCAACACATTCCATTCATCCTGCGAATTCCTTGCAGCACTGTAACAACCACTCCCAATAACACCAGTTATCTATTGAACAACATAGCTATCTGTAGGAAAGCACACAAAAAGACTAAGCTGTCTCAATGCTCCTGAATACCTATAAGAATTCATGTAATGTACATCATAAAATCTGCAAAAGTTGGCATGCACCACTCATGTACATCATTAGTAAAGGTGCAATAATACATTGTGTCTTCATTATCTTTGTTTATTTATTCAAAATCTCAAAACTTTAAACCTTATAACCTTTTCTTATATTTTTTTTATTTTACTGTCCAGGTCCTTTAAATGATCTACCTCTACCATTTTGACTAATTTTCTGTTTACACCACATAACAAGTTAATAAATTACCACAAAATCATCTACAGACTACATTACATTTTAATAAAATGATAATACATCACTATTAGCAAAGTTCTTAAACATTGTTAAATCATGACACAGAAATAATGTGTTATTTATCTGATTCATTTGCTAATACATGTGAGATTGTTTTTTTTTTCCTTAGCTTCACAGACAACATATCCCCGTAATGGCCCTTATCGTCATGGATCTATCAGAGATTTTTTGAAGAATATTTCAGAAAATAAAACTCCACCTGGTAATTATTTTAGTTTATAATTGATTTATATAAAAAGGCACCCTGATTGTTTACAGTACAGTAGCATTTTATTTGTTATAACATTTCACTGGTTTACTATGAATATCTAATAAGTTTTTTATACATCATTGACCAGGTTCTGCTGAAGATGATCAAATAGATTGTGTTGTAAGGATCATTCCTCTAGTAGCTCTATATGCTGGACACCCAGACATGTTGATGAAGGTGGAGCAAGGTCTCAGAGTTCTACAGGAATCTGATATGGCTGTAGCTACTGGCTTGGCAGCAGCAAGGTAAGCTGAGTTTTTATAATTTACTGAATCCCTTGTGTCCTACATTTCATGTTGATGGTTCAAAACTGTTTACACTTTTAGAATTCTGGAGCAATACATTTTGCATGAGAGCCCTGGAGATGTCTTTCAGTCAGTGGTAGAAGCTCTACGTGACCCAAACCGTAAATGTCCCCAGGAACTTGACAATGCTATTATAGGACAAATTCGGCAAGTTATCAAGGAAAAGGACACTAACCATTTTCAAGCCGTCAATAAGTCTTTCAAAAAGAACTGACGTAAGATTTGTCTTTTTTTTTTTTTTTAAATTTTCATTCTCTATGTCATGGTGAAAAATCTGATAAGAGTGTAGTTAAATTATCTTCGTATTTTTCACAGACTTGCCTGAATCCTTTCAGTCCACACTACATGGTTTAATCAGTGCAACTAGCTACGTTGATGGTATTCGCACCACTATTAGAGTTGGCGGTTGCAATGCCTCACGCAGTGGGTTTATTGGTGCATGTATGGCTGCTAAGGTAAAACTTTTAACATACCGTATTGTTTAAATGCTACATGGCTACACTTGTAGACTATATTATTTTTGGTAGTTTGTGTTGATTTTTAAATAGTACAGTTATTAGTGATAAATCCTTACACATAATATCTGTTCAAAGTTCTATAAATTAAAAAGAAAAAAATAAATTATCAAGCAACTAATCTTTTTTGACCTACTACAAATTGTTTTGGCTCACTATAAATTGTTTTCACTTGATATTATTTTTAAAAAACATTTTTCTTCAGGATGGCCTTGAGACGATCCCTGAAACCTGGAGAAATAAAACCTTACAGTACACACAAGTTCTAGAACTCTCCTTGAACCTGTTAAACATTCCTGTGTAGCTGCTCCACTCTACGAGAAAGTCTAACTAGAGATGTTTTTGTAATTGTAACCTAGGTTATTGTTTACTTATGTTTGATGGTTCAGGGTAATGTGAACAGATATTTTCACTTTATTACTATTAGCCAGTACTAAGATATTTTTTATCATCATTTATTTTACTCTCAATCTTTAATTAATTAGTGACATTAAATCTTTTGCAAATACTTTTTTTTTAAATTGTTTATAAAAAACGTAAATGTGAAGATTGTATGATGACTTAAAGAGAAAAATTAACTCTTTAATTCTGAAGTTTAATATCTGTCCATTTGTGTTTACACAAACAATTTTAACAAAGAGTATAAGCTACAACATTTGTTTTAAATGTATCATTTCTCAAAATAAAAATTTGATAAAATATTCAGTATGTTTATCCCTGTAACTTGAAGTTGCTTAATTAGAAGTCAGATCTCATATTCTGTATTACAGTTTTCAATTTTTAAATGGCTGCATACTTGACAAGAAGGATATTAAAACAGAAATGATTAATTAACCTGAGAATGTTGGAGTGTTGAATCATCTGATCAAGTCTTTTGTGACAAAACATCACTTGCTGGGTTTTGTCTTTAGTTTTTGTATCATTTGTGTGAACATAATTTTGCAAGAAAATGAATAGACATATAACTTAATGCTCAAGTAAAGTACTGAAAGTCCTGTCAGACATAAATAAAGACTCAAGTCGATTATGCATGCTTAAGTGATAATTGGATGAGAAATTATGAAGTTGGTCCTCCATAATTTTTTAAATCACAAAAGCTGTCCACAACTTTCAAATAAATATGCAACTAGTTGAAATTATAAAGATAACGGAAATAAGAGTTATCTCACTTAGGTACTTGTAATAGCCATTATTCTACAAACATGTCTTTCATCATTTGGTTTCATATAAAATATACAGTTAAACCTTAACATAACAAGTGCCCTAACATAAAATGTTTTAGGTGAGCTGTTGAGTTAGCAATGTTTTGCATTGAAATTGAAGTACAAGTAAAATTTTATATATGAAGAAATGCCTTAGTGGGTTTTATAGCAGAAAAGTTACAAGTTGCAACTGGTCGTGCATTGGAGCTGTTTAATGACACTTACCTAATGTATTTCCACAATATTTTAAAAGGGAGGAAGAAACAAACCTACTTGGCAGGTTTTTGTTTAAACGACCTAGAAGTAAAAGTGAAGAAAACATGGCCAAAGTCCAATGATGAGACTAGCACTGACAAAAATTGTGTAAATGTACAGCAATGAAAAGTAGCATTTATGAAAGCAGCTTTGGGTAACAATTGAGAAAAGATGATGGAAATTGTAAATTGAATATTGCATTGAAATGTGCAATATGTTTAAGTTTTTTTTTCATTTATTTCTCTTGCAATAGCATGGAAAACACTTGAAGTAAGACACTTAGCCTAGGCCAATGTAGTTGGGAACCCATGGTTTGATAAATTAAATGATAAATTATATTCAAATACTATACTAAGGTCCTTATGAGGTTTTGGTATTTTTAAAGGTAATATTAGACACTGAATTTTAGCCATTATTTCCTGTTTTTAAAAGGAAGAATTTTTCATACTGATATTAAATTACATTATACAGACTATACTGATTATACTCAGTGTTGAATGTATATATAAATTTCACAAAGAAATGTGGGTTTTTAAAAAAAAAAAGAAAAACCTTGATTTTGAGACAGTTGAATGTTGAGGCGTGACTTAAATTTTTAGATTTGGGGTCTGGCCTGTGTGGCGACGGAAAGAGGGGGGGGGGGGGTGAACACATTGTCAGAAAAACGTGACGTCATTTAAGACATTTATGGTTTACCCATAATAAAGAATTTTTTTCTCTTAAGATTCTTAAACTCACTCCTAGTTTAATTAATACCTAAACTTGGTCATTGTTTTATTTTCCGTCTGTATCGTGTAGTAATTCTGAGTACATTGCTTCAAAAATGCAATTATTAAGCCTCAACATTCATATTATAATTTCGTGCGGCGTCAATTCGGCCAATGACGAAACGGCCCCGTCAAATCGGCCCCGTCAAAAGGGCCAGCGACATATGGACCCCGTCGTATAGGCTCCCGACAAATAGGCTCCCGTCATTTAGGTTACCGACAAATAGGCTCCCGTTATATAGGCTCCCGACAAAAGGGCTCCAGTCAATAAGGCTCCTGACAAATAGGCTCCCGTCATTTTGGCTCCCGACATATAGTCTCCCGTCATTTAGTTTTTTCCACAAAACGGCCCCCGTCATTACGACTCCCGACAAATAGGCTCCCGCCATTTAGTTTCTCCACAAAACGGCCCCCGTCATTACGACTCCCGACAAATAGGCTAGCGTCATTTTGGCTCCCGACAAAAAGGCTCCTGTCAATTTGGCTCCAGACAAAAGGACCACTGACACAGTGGCGTAGCTACCGTAAAGCTAGCGTAAGCAAGGCATGGGGGCCCAAGGCACATAGGTGCCCTTTTCCCTCATAAAAAATTAAAACTTTTACAATGGAATTTTAATATTTGTTACATATAAATAATTTTAAAAAAGAAAAAGGTTAAAAGTTCCAAAAAGCCCCCCCCCCCCCTCCCCCCACCGTTTCGGCAGTGGGATTCAGTGTTTGTGGGTCAAACAGAGCCCAATCGTTATAATAACACTACAGGCTATATCACTTTGTCGTGCAAGACATTGAGAGAATCAGCCTATAAATAAACTTTTTAGCAGTAGTAGGCAAGCATAATAATATAGTATAAATACAAAATCAGGACATATAAAATACAAAATGTTGCCTTCAGAATATTTATATATTAAAAAATATCCATCGTAAGTAGAAGTTGATCTCTTCGTTTAACTCCTCTGTAGCCTAACGCAGAGGCGTAGCGAAGGCGAGGCGGGGGCTGCGGACCGCAACGGGTGTAACCATTTAGGGTGGGGGTGACACCAAAGGCGAAAAATTGTAAAATTTATAGAATGAAATGCCATTTTCCAGATCCATTAGTTAAAGTTAAATAGTCTTCTAAGTACAAATCGAAAATTATATCAAAGGGGGGGGGGGGGGGGTGACACCATTAAGTGCCGCACCGGGTGACACCCGACCTCGCTACGCCACTGTGCTTGTAGGTTATCAAAACAAAATGCTGTTATCATGTTAACATCATGTATGTCATACATTTACACTTCTGTGCTCGCTTTTAAGCAACAGATCTTTTCTGTTGTAAATTAAACATCAAAACTTTAGAATTGGTGGAATTTAGCTGTTAAGGGCTCGATTTGTTTGTGAATTAATGTTGGTTCATGAAAAAATAATTTCATTCGGGCATTAAAAAGAGGTTATGGTGGTATTGGAGGTAGGACACAATGGTTACTTTTATGCCAATAGTGGTCATATCATTCATTTTTCTGGAGCCAATATGTCGGGAGTCATTTTGTCAAAAGCCAATATGTCGGGAGCCCAATTGCCGGGAGCCAATATGTCGGGAGCCCATTTGTCGGTAGCCAAAATGTCGTGAGCCCATTTGCCGGGAGCCCATTTGTCTTGAGCCCTTATGTCGGGAGCCAATATGTCGGGAGCCGCTTTGTCGGGAGCCAATATGTCCTAAGCCTATTTGTCAGGGGTTAATATGTCGGGAGTCCATTTGTCGGGAGCCTAAATATCGGGAGCCCATTTGTCGGGAGCCTATATGTCGCAAGTCAATATGACGGGAGCCCATTTGACGGGAGCCAATAAGTCGGGGCCCTTTTGACGGGGCTATTTTGACGGGGTCGGTTTGTCGGGAGTCGATTTGACGGGGTCGTATTAACGGGGCCGTTTTGACGGGGCCGATTTGTCCCGGGCCGTTTTGACAGGGCACCTATAATTTATATTCCATGATGTAAGAATATTATTTGGTATGTTGCGACGTTTAGAGAGACCGCTTGGCCTACATCGCATAATAATAATATTTACTTTTTAGAAGGAAATTGCTTTTCTAAGTGTAAAGAGTGAGCTAGAAAAATGGGGAGTATGGCGAACCCTCTGTTGTTATGGTTTGCAGGCTACTCAAACGTTACCTCCATTGTTGTTATAATCCTTTGCTTTTTGGCAATGACCGTTTTTATTTCGCTTTATAGGTATGATAATTCACTAGCACTGAGGTATACCGATGTCTGATAGATCTACTATAATTTATTAATTTATTATTGATAGACTTCCGAAAATATTCCTGACAGTGTGACAGTCCGCCGGGACTCTCACTCCTTCAGCTGAATCAGCTTCACTCTTCCTTCAGAGTATTTCAGACTCTTCTACGTCTATTGTCTATGCTATGAGTATGATGAGTCTATGACTGTCTATGAGTATGATGAGTGTATCCACATAGAAATAAAAAAGACAAAAGCCATATATAGATCATCTATCATTACTATAAATACTATAATTATAATAGATCTAGATTCTAGTAGCATATAGATAGATCTAGATCTAAAGATGTGGGAGATTTTTATACCAGTTTTGCGACATACTAATTAAAGTAATTATTAGTAATTAATCTTCTCCATCAATAAAGGGTTTTAGATTACTGTGGTAGATAACTAAAATAGTAAAATACACTTTAATACACACATGGCATGCTGATGTCAATGTGACAATGCTAAAAGTAAAATTGTACCCTAGTCTCTAGTCCTACCATATTCATATGCCCAGAGGCGTAGCGACCCCTCCCGGCGCCCGGGGCGAACATTCAGTTTGGCGCCCCGCCATATATATATATATATATATATATATATATATATATATATATATATATATATATATATATATGTGTGTGTGTGTATGTGTGCTACAGTCTTGAAAAAAATTAATAATTACGCTGTATGATTGTCGTTCCATAAATCTTAACTCAACGCCAATTAAATTCCCCATAAGATGCATTATCCTTTAAAGATAAAGATTAGTAATGTCAGAAAAAAAATATTGTAATGGTGCTAATTCGTTTAGGACAGTCTTTTTATGTTTTATCTTTGGAACAGTCTCTTTTATGATATAGTATATATTTGGATTTTAAGTTAGTTAGATTAAGGTCATACAATTGACATACAATAGCAAATTATTGTTCACATTGGAATACGATATGGGTATTTCGTTGACTGGTTGATTGTATAATGAAACAAGCTAGAGGAAAAAACATTTCTTTTTTAAGTGTTAAAAGAGTTATCTAGTAACCGATCCAGTACAAATCCTGCGATTTTTGTGGGTGAAAAAGCGCCCCCCCCCCCCTCCTCCCCACCATCTTGGACAAAAATGGTAGAGCGGATTTTAAACGTCACTAATTCTTGTTTTTATGTTACACAATCGTAAATACGCTTTAGTTCCATGGGTTCTTTTCTGAGTGATACGGGTTATTTATTCCTTTTTTTTTTCCGGTTTTAGTATTCGAAAAAGCGCCCCCCCCCCCCTCCATCTAGGAAAGCTGGAAAGCAGTTTTTCCGGTCACTGTTTCTTAAGGATATACCTTTTACAGTTACTCAATCAAGGTAGAAAACAGTTAAATCAGTATGCAAAGGCTCTCAGTCGTTAAATTTCTTTACTTTGACTGTTTATAATTCAAAACTGCAGCTTAAAATGAGCTTGTAAATTTTTTTTTACCCCTTTTGGTGCCCCCTTAGGGTCGGCGCCCGGGGCGGCCGCCCTCCCCTAGCTACGCCTCTGCATATGCCTAATCCTAATTTCTAACCATAAAATATCTATTTGAGATTACAATACTACTAACAACCTAACATAACTATTTTTGGAAGACAACTTTGAATCCCGGACAGATCGTCCCCCCGGCATGGCCTCAACCAACCGGCGGGCTCGTTGCATTAAATTTAAACTCAAAACAATAATATAAACAATCTCCTTTCTGTCGGTCAGGCCACATACCACGCATGCATAGTGTTATGCGTCGTGCCTTAACCAAAATAAACACCCTTCATTACCATTAGATATATTTAATTAGTTGATTAATTAATTAATTTACTAATTTATAAAATTATGTATGATGCTATAGAAGTAGGTAAGTATAATGGCTTTTTCAGTCCTTTTTAGCTCCAAAAACGCAGTGTTTACGGGTCGCGTGACATCATCGTGACATCAGCTGCCAACCAAAACGCGTTGGCGTTTGATTGGTTGGCGGCAAATACTATGAAATACCAAGGGTTTTCTCTAAATATTTACCTATAGATCTAGATTCTAGGTCAAGGCTTTTTGCTAGTTATGTGATTGATGTGAAATGAGCAATACTAGTGTAGGAAAATGTGGATACAGCTTATCAGCAAGTATCAAATAATTTTAAAATGTGAATTTTATGTTTTGATTGCTTCATACTATGCTTGTTCTATATGTATATGTCAATTTGTTTTTAGAATTGATTTGAATGGGCAGTCTGTTACTAAAACTGGTGTGGAACAGACAAACATGGTGAAAGTCTGTAATCCTTTTTTTATTCGTATAGAGGAGAGAAGCAAAAAACTTGCAGGTAAAACAGGTTTTTTTTGCAGTTATGTTTTCTTTAACAATATTACATTTACATTAGGTTTTAAAAAAACCTGGCCCATGTACGCCTACATGTATTCAGGTCATGAATGTTTTTTTTTACATGTTTCTTGTTATTATATAAAAATAACCTCTAATTTTAGTTTTCTATATGTGACCGAGCGTAGTTGCATCTTCTGCTCGACAACGCCAAATGTAACGAGTCTATTTGCCTGTAGTGCCAAATGTTAACGAGTCTAACCACTCATTCTACACAACATCGACCACAGTATAGATACTCGAAGATGCAGGTTCACTATTGATCCTTTTATTACATGAATCAAAGAAATGCTTCACAATAATATAATGAATCAAAAGAAATGCTTCACAATAATAGTCTGAATCAACTGACCCCCAACAGTCCTCACTAGTCTTCACATAACTGAATGCACATGTCTATCGTCCTTATTAACACAATACGGCTAACCCGTTCAATAACCAACTTGATACTGATCCTGTCACTGTCTCTGATACTCCTCTTACTGACTGACTGATCCCCCGATCTCCTACTCCTCACGTCTCTACAGTTCGGCTTCCTTTTTCAACTGTCGCCTTCCTATATATCCCTTCGTATTCGTAATCGTATTCGGTTCTATCACAGTTATGTTCAATCCGAATATCTCGCCTTCCGATTACTACGCAGTTGTCTCATCAGTCCGATTAATAGAACACCTGCACTGTTTCGTCAGCCAAGTCGTGTCAAAGTTGACAGCGGCTTTGTGATCGTTATCAGCCTAACACCTGCACTATTGCGTTGTTATCGTCTCTGGTAACTACACCTAGTTACATCCACCGCCGCCTTTTTTTTGTGTGTTTTCAACCACAAACAACGCTTGGTAGGTGCACTTCTTAAATGTCCATCGCACCATCGTAAAAAAAAATTTATTGTTCCATTCACTGTCAATGTCGTCACATTCGTAAAAGATTGACAGTTATCCCTATTTCACATATCAAATGTGTCTACATCATATTCCTCAGACACAAGGCAGTTCTAGAATTCACATCCACCTTTTTTCGTTTGGTGCCTTCACCAGTTCACTTTTATAACTTTTTGAACAGTCTGTTCTCATACCAGCGCGACCATGAAAGAATTGATGGTTGCTGACAAAAAATTTCGTATTCTTTCTGTTTCTCAAACTTCTCCGCGGACCACTTATCTGATGGTCTACTGTCTCTCTGCTTCTGGGAGGAACGGGATCCTCTTTGTTGCCGTTATCCTCCACTTGTGTATCGCTGTTGTGCTGTTGATGGTGACATGGTTCCGGGATGGGTATGTGAATTTCCGTTATAGTTTCCGGTTCCCTAATTGTCTTAGGTTTCTTTGTGTGTAAATGCTCCTCTTGCCGATGCCAATATTTCTTTAATTGAGCAATATTCGCCCACCGATCCGGTTTGGTGTGATTGATGGGTCTTATCTTAAAGGGGCCACCTGCTACTTTAGGCATCTCCACGACTTGCCATATCTCCTGTCCCCAGAGGTCGTGGATTTTGTTTCTGCCTAACGGGTGGCTACGCAGTAATACCCTGTCGTTCAGTTTGAGTGGCGGGTCCTTTGTCTGTACCGGCGGTTCCCTTCGCCGTGCTTCATGTTCTAGTCTTTCCTGTACTACCCTGTACATTTCTCTAATTCGTCTCATATGTTCATTCACATATTCTAGTGCGGTGTATGAGCCAGTCATACTTTCCTTTTTCCCTAGGAACAAGTCAAGAGGGAGTCGAGCCTCCCGTCCGAACAGTAACATGTGTGGCGAAAAGCCGGTTGTGGCATGGGGGGTGCAGTTGTATAGATATACCAACTCTGGGAGAAAATCAGGCCAACGTTTTTTCTGTTCAGGTTCTAGCGTACGCAGCAAATCATGCATGCTGCGGTTGAACCGCTCGCACTGTCCGTTTCCTTTCGGATTAAATGTGGTTGTTCTAGATTTGTTGATCCCGTAGTGGCTGCACAGTTGGTTAATTACTTCTGACTCGAAGGCCCTTCCTTGGTCAGAGTGTAATTGTCTTGGTATGCCATATTTGATGAACCAATTTTCTATTAAGACCTTTGCCACTGTTTTGGCCGTCTGATCTCGTGTGGGCACCGCAACAGTCCATTTGGTGAATACATCAGTCATTACCAACACATGTTCCGTCCCATCCGATGATTGCTCCAACGACGTAAAGTCCATAGCCACAATCTCTAGTGGTTTTGTCGCCAGTAGGTGTCCTGATGGCTGTCTCATTTTAACAACTGGCATTTTCGCATGCTGACACCTCACACAAGCCTCACAATGGCGTTTGACCTCCATCTCCATATTGGGCCAGTAACACCTCCGTCGTAATATTTTGTGCGTCCTGTCCTGACCCTGGTGTCCTGCCCTGTCATGTGCCAACCTTAGCACTTCTTCTCGTAACTGTCCAGGCACCACCACCTGGTGTATTGTCCCATCTATTTGGTCATGAATTCTCCGCATGAGAACACCATCCTTTATACTGAGACGGTCCCACTGACTCAGTAGTTTCTTTGTTTCCCGACCAAACTGTTCTCTTTCCCTTCTTCTTGGGAATTTTTGTTCCTGGACGTGTTTCAACAGCGGCTGTAAGCCACTATCCGTTCTCTGGGCATCTCTTATCTCTTTGTGATTAAGGCAATTAAAATCACTAATGTCCATATGTCCGGGCTCTGTGGATATGTGCTCCACCCCGGTCTGCCCGTTTCGCATCACTTGCACCCCGTGAGGGATATCTGTTGACGCTCTGACCTCACATATTCCTGTCAGCGTTTCTTCCTCATCGCCCGGTCTCTCGTAAGGATTCCTTGATAAGGCGTCCGCATTGCCATTGGACCGCCCCGGGCGATATTTTATCTCCAGGTCAAAGAGTGCCAATTCTGCTGCCCATCGCTGTTCGATGGATCCCAACTTTGCTGTCTTTAGGTGACTGAGGGGGTTATTGTCAGTGTATACCACACATTTAGCACCTAATAGATAGTCCCTGAATTTTTCAGTCACAGCCCATTTTAATGTCAAAAGTTCTAGTTTCATGGCGCTGTAATTTGTCATGTTCTTCTCTGATTCCTTCAGAGCTCGACTGGCATACGCAATAACCCTGAAACCTTGCTCTTGTTGTTGTGATAGCACAGCTCCCAGACCTTTAGAGCTGGCGTCAATTTCTAGCCGAAATGGTTTGTCAAAGTCCGCGTATCCTAATATCGGCGCCTCTGTCAAAGCCTTTTTCAATAGCTTAAACGAGTTCAGGCATTCATCAGTCCATAATTCACCTATCAGTTGTGTTTTACCTTTCTTTTTCTCCTTACTGTGTTTCTTTGTCATTTTGTTTACCAAGTCATGCAACGGTGCGGCAATTTTTGCAAAACCAGGTACAAATTTTCTATTTTCTTCTTCAGATAACAGACACTCTAAAGATGAACGTTTCTCCTGTGCTTTTACTTTGCATGAACTTTCCCTATCCAGTTTCATGGTTAACCTTGAGATCTCATTATTAAGTCTACCAATTTCTTCCTTATCATCATTTTTCTTAGCCAACAAATTGTTCACTTGAAACTTTTCAACATTCAAGTTCATTTCACAGTTCATTTTTTCAATATCTGATAATTTCTCTTCGAGTCTTGTTTGAGACTCTTTCATTATTTGTTTCCTTTTGTTTCTTACGCCATAACCTCGCCGCTCTGTAGCCTTGACCTGCCTTACAGAGGGCGATCGTTTCACCGGACAGTACCGTGCCATATGTCCGGGTTGTGAGCAGGACAAGCAAATTGGTCGACCTTCAGCCGTCCACCGGAGCGATGGACCGGCAGGTCGCGGCTGTCCAACCTGTCTCTGTTTTGTCCCGTTTTTGCCCTGATTCTCAGCTGTTGACCTGCTTTCTAACCTCTCCAATCGTTGGTCAACCTTATCCAGGTGAGCCAACAGTTGAGCCATCATGGTTTCCATCGTGCCGGTCCCTGTGGGTGGGGATTGTTTCTGTTCCGGCACAGAGACTTTGTCTACCGAACAGTTCGATTGGTCCTCATCCTCGGACCTGCGGATCGCTGAGTTCCTGACCTGAAGGAAGGTCAACTGCGGGTCTTTGTAGACCTCTTCTTTCAACTCTCTCCTTAAGATCGGGGTTGCTAGCCCCTCGATGAAATGGTCCCTCAGTAGGCGCACATCAATGTCAGGTGTTTTGCCCTTTACCGAATCAAAGGCCCTGTTCATTCGGTGTGAATACTCCATCACACTCTCCGCCATTCTCTGCTTTAAGCCTACGAACCCCGATAGCAGTTGCGATCCCGACCGTCTCTCCCCAAAGGTCTCCATAATTAGATCCAGCACCTTATCTGGATCTGATTGGATGGTTTTATCGTGGCATTTGACCTCTGCCCTAACCGTCTCTCCTATACTGCCCATCAGCAGTCTTAATCTTTCCTCTGGTGACATGTATCTCGAGGCCCAGGCCGCTTTGACCTCTTCACTGAACCTGTTGGTTAAAGCTGGATCACCGTCCCCGTAAAATTTGTTAATGTGGGACTCTCTGGGCAGGACCACAATATGGGTCTGCTTCTCGTCCAGAGTAGACATTATAATTTTTATTCCTTGAGTAAAAAAAGAAAAGACCTTTCTTACCGTGTGTGTATGAAAATTTTTCCTCGTTCCTCAATTTTCACTGTTCCTGAATGTCCGAATTCACACACACACGAACCACAGTTATGAACTGAATCTAGGTTGATAATGGGTGCCTAAAGCGGCTGGTCTAATTGAATCATCCTGTCCGCAGCGCCAAATGTGACCCTGCTCGCTGCGCCAAATGTGACCGAGCGTAGTTGCATCTTCTGCTCGACAACGCCAAATGTAATGAGTCTATTTGCCTGTAGTGCCAAATGTTAACGAGTCTAACCACTCATTCTACACAACATCGACCACAGTATAGATACTCGAAGATGCAGGTTCACCATTGATCCTTTTATTACATGAATCAAAGAAATGCTTCACAATAATATAATGAATCAAAAGAAATGCTTCACAATAATAGTCTGAATCAACTGACCCCCAACAGTCCTCACTAGTCTTCACATAACTGAATGCACATGTCTATCGTCCTTATTAACACAATACGGCTAACCCGTTCAATAACCAACTTGATACTGATCCTGTCACTGTCTCTGATACTCCTCTTACTGACTGACTGATCCCCCGATCTCCTACTCCTCACGTCTCTACAGTTCGGCTTCCTTTTTCAACTGTCGCCTTCCTATATATCCCTTCGTATTCGTAATCGTATTCGGTTCTATCACAGTTATGTTCAATCCGAATATCTCGCCTTCCGATTACTACGCAGTTGTCTCATCAGTCCGATTAATAGAACACCTGCACTGTTTCGTCAGCCAAGTCGTGTCAAAGTTGACAGCGGCTTTGTGATCGTTATCAGCCTAACACCTGCACTATTGCGTTGTTATCGTCTCTGGTAACTACACCTAGTTACATATATTTAATTTGTAATTTAAAAAACATGCAGTTCTGAAAATGTTTTTATCTGTTATAGTATAGCACATTTTCTAGCTGTCACAAAGTAATAACATGAGCCTTCTGTACTACTGTCCATAAAACATAGACCATCAATAAAAATAAATTGCTACCCACAAAATTTAAGGAATTTTTTTTTTCAAAAAGCTTTTTTTAGGGTCGGTGTGGTTGAGTCGGTAAAGCTCATGGTTGCTAAACCGAAAAGTCTCGAGTTCGTACCCTCGGGCAGATGAGGCTCGTTAGCTGGGGACAGCAACTCTTCTAGCAGAGACAACTCCAAAATCAAACAACTGCTGCCTTGTAGCTTGTTCTTGGTTGGACAAAGGGAGCAAATCCAAAAAGAAAAGCAGGCTGAAATCGGAGTCAATGGCCTCAATGGTGCATAACCAGTTGACACGTATCCTTAATTGTGTTGGAGGCGTGGTCGAGTCGGCAAAAAGATCATGGTTGATAAATTCGAAAAGAAAAAAAAAGTCGAGTTCAAACCCACTGGCAGATAAATCTCGATCCCTTTCAACACTAATAGTTAAGAATAAAGAAGAAGAAGAAAAGTTTTTTTTATATTGATCTGCTTACAACAAACTGTGTATTAGCTTAATTACTTTTTTTTATTCCAATTCCTGTTTGTACGACAGTGTGTTTATATTTTTTTCTCTTCACAAAAGATGGAATAAAACTGCACCTGTCTAGTTTGTGCCCAGGCAAAGTATTTGTTCTGTGGGGTGCTAAAATTAATCCAGTCCATGATTTTATGCTTAAACCTGGACACCACATCAGACATGAACTGGAATACAAGCAAACTGAAGACTATTCTTCTTTAGATCCACTATTTTGTGATACCCTAGAGTAAGAATAGTTGAATAAGTTATTAAATATTTTTAAAATACTTGGTAATAATGACTAAATTGTAAAAGGGATAGAAATTTTGATCAATGTTGAAGCATCTTATGTTTGGCTACAAACCTACAGGTTGAGTACTGCTGGAGGGCATGAGATAAACCTGCCATGTCCAGCAAGTGTCACCAGCGATGTACTTGGTGATATGCCTAGAAAACGCTACCCAGTCACTGTGTTCACTGTTGCCCCAAAGTGTGAAGATGAAAATGTAGATGATATTGAAGAAGATGACAAAATGAATTCAGTTGTGAGTGGGCTTATTATTTTTAGAAAATTTTGTGGGGGAAATTCTTTTTAAACATTTTATTTTTGGTGTAGTATTGTGTCATTCCTTCATGCTTAATGTGATTGCTTTATCTTTAAACTTTACAGATAGGTCTAATATCAATAATTCACCTTCAAGATGACAAAGTTGTGCAAAAGTCCAATATTATAGGAAATTATGTGAAAACATATGGAGTTCAACTGTACTCATTACAGGTGAGGTTTAACATATGGAGTTGAAGGTAATATCAATCATTTGGGAGCAGAGCTTAATTGCAAGGTAACATAGGGTGTGACAGCACATACTTCATAGGGTGTTACACCACATACTGCATAGATGTCAAACCTAAAAAAAAATTGTATTTTATTTTAGCCTCTTTTTCTGTCAAATGACACAAAAACTGAGCATCCGGTGACTCAAGTCCAAGATGTAGCTGTTGTACCTGATACAACTGTTGTACCTGATGCAACTGGATGTGCAGATGAGGCTGACAGTGTAACAACAGCTGATCTACCTGCCAGTCCAGACTCTACATTGCAGCCATCAGAAAATCCTGGTCACAGTAAAAGAAATCATAGTTGCCTAGCAACAGAAGCAGCCTCTACTGCAGAACTGGAACACACAACAGGGGAACATACTCATCCTGAATGTGTAGTGTGTCAAACTAGGCCAGTCATGTGTGCTCTTTTGCCATGCAGACATGCCTGTGTTTGCTTAGGTTGTTTTAAACTGCTGGACAAGTGCCCCATGTGTAGATCAGTGCTGCAGTCTTACTTCCTGCTTGATGAGTGTGAGGAGGATGAGAGCTCCCTCCATGACTTCCAACACCAGGCTATCAATGCACATTTTGACAGCCTCTGGGAGAGGATTAACCTCAGACTCAATGCATTTTTTGGATTCAGGTAACAAAACAGTGGTATGTTCCAGGCTATCAATGCACATTTTGACAGCCTCTGGGAGAGATGCATTTTTTGTATCCAACAATGGATATGATGGACATTGTTATTTTAACTGGCTACTGGACATAACAAAAAAATGCCGATACTTTCTGTCAGTAAAACTTTGTGATAAACTATTGTGATAATTTTTTTTTAATTTTGCTATTGGATTGTTAGTTTGGAATTTCTTCAAGCAGTTAAATAGTTGATCCTTGCTTTAACTTTTAGTTGGTTGTTAGTTGGTGGTTTTTCAAGCAGTTAAATAGTTAATCCTTGCTTTTTAAGTTAAAACATTTCTTACTTCTAAACAACACAACTTTGTTAACTGTAATTTTTTTTTTAAAGATAACCAGTCCAACATACACAAACTTTCAATCATTAGCAAGCATAATTCTAAATGTTTTTAAATCTACAATTCAAGAATCTTACACCTATCATACAAAAATGGTTAGTAGTGGTCAACTGCTTTGTAGGCCGATATGTAAATATATATGTAGTAGATCTGTATGATTGATGTAGTGTGAAAATCTTGTCTCCTCTCTCTATGCTTGTATTGAAACCATTTTAACCAGACAGGGTGTTCTTATGATTACTATTTGTACTTTTGTGATCACAGATTTATTTGAACAAAACTAGATTTAGTGAGTTGAGCTGTATTTTTAGTTTATCATTTTTTCCTGCCCAAGACAAATAGGGCAGATGAAGGGATAGTGTGGTCAGCACTATGCCCAGCAACCTTGATTTCCCTAACACAAGTTAGGTACCTATCAGAGTTAGGTAGACTCAGAGATGTCCTACAGGCTCTAGCCCAGGATCCAGATTGAAGACTTTCTTAAAATATAAAAAAAAACCTAAAATTTACATTTCATTACCAGATTCTCTTATGGCCATTAAAAAAGCTACATATATATTTTCAAGTGAGAGTAAGTTATTATATTTTAAATGATGCATTTACGTATTTAAAGAAAAGTTTTAACCATGGCAGTCTTGTTCTTTGTTTCCATATATCTTATCTAATGTGTTATCTCACTGTTTTTGGTAACTTAAACATTTATAAAACTCACTGTAATAAGTTCACCAGATAAGTCAGTTCTCTAATAAAAAAAATCCAAACTCTAAAGATGAGAAGGCTAGTCAAAAAGGACAAAAGCTCTCTGTTTTTATTTCTCGTCATATTTTCAGTTTATTATTTATTAAGTTTTTCAAGGTATGTGCAACTAAATTAAACTACTTAATTTTTTTGGCTGAAAAGTAAGAACAACAAAGTATACTTGTAGTTTTATTGTTTCAAGAAAATTACAAACAGTTTTTTAATCATATGCAGTTGAAATCTAAAATGGAGCCAAAAAATAAACATTCTTTATCATTTCATTTTTTATACCAAGCAGAAAGGATTTAATAAGCACTAAAACCCAAGTTTGTGTGCACTGTCTATTGTTAATTTTAGATAAAAACTACAAAAACAATTCTGAACTAAAACAATATGAGCAGACAGCAATTAACCAAAGAACAGCTCTAGGTTAGTTCAGTAGTCCTCAGGTCAGTTGGGTAACAAAGTACTGTAAAAATGTATCAAAGTACTCTTTCAAGTATTAATTTGCAATTAAATTGCAATTATAAAAATGTATATATTTTTCAAGAATGTATTTTAAATAAAAATGTGGCAAAACTAAGCTAGCTTACAACTGAAAATATAAGCAGTTATATCATGAGTAAATATTTTTAAAAACTTCCAAAATGTTTTGTAAAATAAGTAAAATGAAAATACAACCATCTTACCCTGGCCCTCACATATATGAAACCAATGAATGACTATTGAAATAAATGTTTGTGTGATGATTGCCAACCTACACCCATGTGAGAGCAATCACAAATTCCAATGGACGGACAAATGCTGACATTTATAAATAGAAAATAAATGTAACTGTTACATTTTACTAAAAAAAAATGATGTGGATACTTCAGTTCTAATGCAACACCCATTAATTACTGCAGTGGTATCTTTAAAACAAGGTAACTTCAAATCTCGAGCCACACTGTGATAAACTTGTCAGGATCATGAAAGCAGTTCACAGATCTGAATCATTGACTATATACACAAATAGTTTAATAAGTTATTTATATGTACAAGTTAGGTCATGGTGGACGGAATATTTACACACTGTATTCAAGCTACATGTTTATTTTTTAAATGATGTGCAATAATTAAGTTATTAGGCCTATAGATTGAGCTGTAAAAGTAGAAAGTTTCTTTTAAGCCCAAATATGTATATGAAATAAAAAGTAAATACAAGATCTTAATAAACTTTGTATCAAACATTAACACCAGCACTTGCCTATAATATATACATCTGTTGTCTAATTTATTTTTAATCACAGTATTTGTTGATATTACCTTTAAAACAGGAACGCATTTTTTATAAATAGGATTCAATAATTTTTTTTTAAATTATAAATCTGAATCATGAAGTAAAAATAAATTAATATTTTTAAATTCCGTGTTTCATTACAATAAGATTTTAATTTACACAATCAGAATATTGGCTGTTTAATGATTTATATATATGCATTTATATTAGTAGTAGGGAAGATGGCTTTAACAACAACAGGCAGTGAATTATTTTTTTTTCTTATAGGTTAGAATAATTGTTCACCACCATCTTAGTGAATCCAGTCTGTTGAAGTGTTCAGGGACTAGAGCTCAGGACCAGCTGGGCTCACCTTTAGCCAACTATAGGGGGAAAATCTGGCACCACAGGGGGGAAATCTGGCACCACAGGAGGGAAATCTGGCACCACAGGGGGAAATCTGGCACCACAGGGGGGAAATCTGGCACCACAGGAGGGAAATCTGGCACCACAGGGGGAAATCTGGCACCACAGGGGGAAATCTGGCACCATAGAGGGAAAATTAGTTAATTTTTTTTTTGCAAAAAATAAATTTTCCCTCAACAACTTGTAATAGGTAAATACATTGATTAATGCAACCAATTAAGGCAGGCATCTGATAAATAGCAAACAATGTTCCACAAAGTAAATCACTGGACTGGAACAACACAAAGTTGGATTTAACATTATAGATGTGTACCACATATCACATCCAAGTGTGGGCAATGCAAACTACACACAAGCCAAAATACTACATTTTTAAAGGTCATAATTTTGTATTTACAGTTACTATACAAGTGCAAAACATAAAAATGTTATTGTTCAAGTTACTTGATATGTTTAAAGGTAAAAATATTGTCTTTTAAGTTAAAAATTCTAAAGAGGACTATGGATTTGTACATTGTTAAAAAATTCTAAGGTAAATAGAGAATATTCATGTAAAATAGACATATGTATTACAATAGTAAACATATTAGCAACTAAAACAATAGTTTAGGAATCACAGTAGTTCATGACTGGTTTTATCACAGACAAGCTAACAATGATGGGTCCTAGAAACCACACGCCTGGATCTAGTGAGTACCCAACACAATGGGTCCTTAAACTCACACAATGGGCCCTAGTGCCCACACAACTGGATTCAGCTAGTACCCACACCATGGGCACTAGTGCCCACACAACTGGACATAGTACCCAACACACTGGGGCATGATCAACCTTGTTGATCTTGGCTTGTTTTACTTGAGGAAATGCAAGATACAACAATACTGGCTCGTCACACTAGGTGTTTAACTAATTTATTAGTAGAACTGTAGTGAAATGTTAAATGGTGTTCAGTGCTAGTCAACAATCATGTACCACCATTCTTAAGGTAAATAAGATAGTTAAGCAGACATTAGTCAACGATAATTTGTTATGTTAGTTATGAGCAGTTGATTTCAGAGAAAACAATTTTACCACTTGGTAAGGTAAAAATATTTCTATGGAAAGGAAAATGTATAATACTGTACAGTTGTTAGTGAGGTCATGTTGACCTAGATTGATTATAATACCTCAAAAGTTTATAATACTGTACAGTTAGTCAAGTCATGCTGACCTATCAACACCAGCTTAACTTCCCAAGCTGCTGGGCCAAGTGTAAAAAATGGACATCTCAGATATGACAGCTGACACTGACACATGTAGACCGTAGTGGGACTAAGCAAGTTTGTATAGGATAAATACATGTCAATTTCTACATACAGGACACAGATGTGAGCAAATGATTCAAATCAACCATGAGTATTGACACTGTCAAGCTTGTGAATGGATGGATTTAAGACAGGATTTAATAGGAAAAAATGCTTTACAAAATCTGATGAATTGTAACTGAGTGGAGGAATGAAAAGCTTACATTACCTTACACAGTAGACCTACCACAAATGGACTATCACAATGAAATCTTGTATGACACTGAGTTTGGACTACAATACAAAAGGAATGTTCATCAGATGAAGCTGTTTATTGCAGAAAACTTTCACCATCCCCTGTCAACTTCCTTGTAGTCCCATTCAGCTGTTGTCTATCAAACTCTGTAATGTCTGTATCTGTCGCTGTGTATTGCTTGGCTCAGCGCTAGCCTTCTCTATCAGCCCCTGGCCCATGCAGTCATACAGGGTGCTGATTAGAGTACCTGTTGCTCGACGTAGGTCGTTGCTCCCCCCATGGACAGTTGCCCCGCTGGCGTTCATAGATCCCAGAAGATGCCAGACCAGAGGAAGCACATGCAAGACCACAGGTTTCTGTTTGCGGGGATAAACTTTTCCAACCAAGTCTGTAAACATTTAAAATCTAATGTAAACTTTCCCAACTTTGTAAACATTTAAAATCTAATGTAAACCTTCCCAACTTAGTCTGTAAACATTTAAAATCTAATGAAAGAAAACTTACATGAAACTTTGTCCACCATATCTGCTTTACTTCTGGCTGTGGCATTGAGGGCTTGATTGGCAAAAGGTTGAATCAACAGTGGCAGATCTGAAACATGGACAACATTTGAACTGTTATTGTGCTATTTTAAACTGTCGGCTGCTGTGCTATATTAACTGTCTGTTTTTGTGCTATTTTAACTGTGTGCTACCATGCTGTAAATTCATTAACTCATTCCCTCCTGAGCCCCGACTTCCTGTTTACAAACCCATTCCTGAACAAAGGGAAGTAACTCCATATTTTATAACATATATGTTCTTAAAAAATTAATTTCACTATATAAACACTATTTATTTTAAGTTAAAAAATTACCAAGGCACTCATAAATGGATTAGCTTTCAGAAAAATATAGCTTTACAGACACAACAACATGAAACAACAACATAAAATGAAGGAAAATCCAAAAAATGTTGTACTTTTAGCATTTAATGCATACAAAATTTATCTTAGGCTTTCATGGTATGCACTATAGCATTGTCCTGCATGCAGATACACCTGACATAAGTGGCAGCCTTTGGTTGTCTCTTTGGTCCTGCCACTGGGCATCTTTGCCCCTTCCATGGCACACTGATAACAACAGCGTTTTCTGCCTGGCATGGTAGAGAGCATGTGCTGGGGGCTGAAAGGCTTTGCAACGCCAGCAATACTAGGCAAGTTTTGGGGCCTTGTTGCAGCTGTAGATTTCCCTGCCAGTAGTTGCTGTGCTAGCTTTGTCCTGAATTTCAGATGGCTCTGACTAAGAGGGGATGTAGGGTTCATTTTTTTCATTAGCAGGTAGCCATTGACAATGGATATCTGGATAAGGTACCAGAACAGATACCTCCACCATTTATGGCTTGACCTGCCTACAGGGTAGTAGGACCTGTGTTGATCACCCAGGTCCACTCCAAACATGTACGAGTTGTAGGAGTCTACACTGCAGGGGATTTCCACGTCGATGGGGCCTTCTTTGGTTCTGCGCTGAACCTTGGCCATGGCAGGATTGGAGTTGGTAGAGATAAGATTGACCTGCCGCTTATCTGTCCACTGACAAGCCACAAGCATCCCCTTCTGTTGCATCCTGCACTCCCCTCTCTTCTGCTTCAATTTCTTGAAAGGCCAGCCTTTACGGTTTGGCCTGATGGTGGCACAACAGTAGGTGCCTCGAGCAAGCAGATCCTCTGCTAGCTTTGGCGATGAAAAAAAATTGTCAAAAAAAATTTCATGTTGCCTGTCTAGGAAGGGCTCTGTCATAGTCATGACTACATCATATCCTATACCATTCGTGGAGCTCCTTTCACTCTTCCCAGTATACACCTTGAAGTTGAGTATATATCCCGACTTCGCCTCCGCACAGCACCAAATTTTCAACCCCCAGGGAGTTGGCTGGTCCTTCATATACTGCTTGAAGCCGAGTCTTCCTCTAAAGCCAACCATGGCTTCATCAACACTAAGTTGATGCTGTGGCTTGTAAATAGACACACAGATGTGCCTAATGTGGTCTAGGAAAGGCCTCACCTTGAAGAGAGGGTCATAGTTAGGATTGCCTTTAGCGGGTTGTTGCGAGCTGTCGTTGATGTGAAAAAATTGGTGTATGGCATCATATCTGTCACGACTCATCACATCAGCCACTGCAGGTACCCTCCACATAGGATCAGAAGACCAGTAAAGTCTTCCATCTGGAATCTGATGCAGGCCAAACATAATATTGATGTAAATATACTTAGTGATGTCATCAGCATTCACTCGAGTCCATTTGAATTGGGTCTTTTTAGCAGCAGACTGGTTGGCAAAGTACTGCTCTGCATACAAATTCGTTTGAATGACGAAGTTTTCAATGCATTCATCAGTGACAAACAATTTGAAGTAGTCTAATGGTAGACTGTCAGCGGGCATTTCATGCAGCATTCCTTCAAATTCATTTAAGAAGCCCATTTTGTCTGTCACATCAGACAGCTGATCAGACCATTCAGTGTCAGGCATGTCAGCTTCATCAGGAATTTCGTCTAAGTCAGAATCAGACTCAGAGTCAACATTATTCATCTCAATATCAGAACCTTCTTCTTCTCCATCACTTAATTGTTTATTTCCATCAATTATAGATTGAAGGAATTCAAAAGCCATCTTTAAAAATAAGTCAAAAACACAGCAAAAATCACAATAAAAATCACAAAAATATCTCGCACTCCTACTCTCTTGAAAACACGATTTGAAAATGAACCACGCAAGATAAAAACTTCCGGTTTTTTTTATTGAAATATCGTGGAATCTCGCTACAACGTGGTTCTAGGTATAAATCTTGGGCATGCGTGATTTCGTTATCAATTTGAAAAGAAAAGTAGGGGGGTGTGGCCAGACGCATTTAGACGCATCAGGCGGAACCCCCGGAGGACGCATTTAGTCGCATCCGGCGGGAACGAGTTAATGACTGTGGTTACTGTGTGCCTATATAGTATCGAACTGATGGGCAAACTCAATTTTGAGCTGGTATTGCAGTAGAACTGATACCAACCTATGTTCTCAATGAGAGAGTCCAGGATCTCTACAGCTGTTGTGTTGATGTCCTTGTTCTTGGAGCTGAGGTTGGGGGCTACAGCAGCCACAGTCATGCTGATCACGCTGGACATGGACTCCCTGATCAGGGGGATCACCTCCAGCAGCACCTTCAGGGCATACAGGTTCACCTTGGAGTTGGAGTCAGTCAGCCTCGGCAGGAATTTATCAAAAATCTGACAACAGAGAACACACATTTTTTTTAAACAAAAAAATATTTGAATTCATCTTTTAATTTCAAAAATATCATTTTATGTAACACATTAACATTAATAGGCGTACAAGAAACGCCAAGTTACCTTGATGATTTGACTAGAAACAACAGCAGAATAAGTCTCACACATCTTCTGGAACTCTGTGACACCATCATAGCGTTCTTGCCAGTTGTTTGCTGACAGCTGCCCAAGCATAGCTTTCACTTCCTCCATGCGCGCCTCATCTGTTCTCACTAATGCTTTTCTCTGGGTCTGAAGGCCAATGACCCCACTATCAGCAGAGCTGAAACAATAATGTCATGGTAAATTAAATGTGTCCTAGCTGGTTAAATATTGTTAAAAGAACATTAAACGATGGAATGTATATCTGAAAAGTGCACTAGATTATCTTACAAAAGGTAAGAATAGAAGTCATTGGATTATCTGCACCCAGCACTCACCTACTAGCAGACCCTCCTCTGACTGTTGAATTGGATCTGCTGCTCCCATGTCCAGACTTCCTTGACCTTGCAGAAGAAAGTTCACTGGGGCGTTCACCCAGCCCCTAGAGGATTAAACTCAATATATTAGCACAAGCTTCTAATGACTTTAGCACAGCAGAACTGGCTGCAACTTAAATTTAGATGAAGGTATAGAGTTCAGCCTTTATATGTGAAAGGGACTAGCCCTTACGTGAGTGTGACTAGCTCTTATATGAGGGCAACTTACCCTCTGCTTTAAGTTCTCCACAACCTCCTGGACATTCCTCAGTGTGTTGGCTGGTAAATATTTGGGCAACATGCGTTCAAAGTCTTGGTGGGCCATTAACATATGAAGGATTTTTCTACCATAGTATCTGAAGATGACAGAAGAAAAGTTTTATTAATAGGATTTTTTATTGATGGTCTACACTAACACCAACCCTGTGGTCTACATCTGCACCAACCCTGTGGTCTACATCTGCACCAACCCTGTGGTCTACATCTGCACCAACCCTGTGGTCTACATCTGCACCAACCCTGTGGTCTACATCTGCACCAACCCTGTGGTCTACATCTGCACCAACCCTGTGGTCTACATCTGCACCAACCGTGTGGTCTACATCTGCACCAACCCTGTGGTCTACATCTGCACCAACCCTGTGGTCTACATCTGTACCAACCCTGTGGTCTACATCTGCACCAACCCTGTGGTCTACATCTGCACCAACCTTGTGGTCTGCATCTACACCAACCCTGTGGTCTACATCTGCACCAACCCTGTGATCAATAATTGCACTAACCTTGTCTCAGGTGAGCCATCCAATGAAAAGTGTGCAGCTGTAGGCAAGACCTTGTCAGTGATATCCTTCACCCCACTAAGAATGCGACCAGATCCCATTTTTTCAACTAATTCTACTAAAAACTGGGCTGAAGTTTTACGAACTTGTGGATTTTTATGACTGCAAGAATGTGAGGAAAAGATTCATTTAAATAATAATGTTAATACTTATTTTACCAAAGCATATTACTTTTATATTATGCTAGGATATACCTGTATGTGACTATTACACAAATAATACTACATTAATATATATTTTAGTTTTACTTATTACTACACAATATATTTTTTAATGCAGATGTTATGTGGGTAAGCAATATAACAAATGCAACCAATTCTTAACCTTACCACAATCATGCCAAAAATTTAAATGATTTAAAGCCATTCTAATTAAGTTCCAACCTAACACCAAAACTACTTTAAATGTGACATAACCAAACTAAACTTAACCCTACTAAAGTGAACAACATTAAGGTATAGCTTTTTGCAACTTGAAACTAAAGCCCAACCCTAGCCAATTCAGTGTATTCACTTTTTATCCTCTTACTGTTGTCAATTATCTAAACTGTAATTACTTATTATTTTAATGAACATAATAATTTGCTTCACAATAAGCTTTCCTGAAAACTACCTAATCTAAACACAGCATCCCATTTTGGTGACCCAAAGATCTTAAATGGTAAACATTTGATTTTTATAAAGAGCAAATGTATGCCATCACCTACCCATTCTGCCCAACCCTATTTATAAACATTACATAAATGCTGATTTTTTCTTCAGGAGTGACAAATAATGAAATCATTTCAGGCATTTTGATTTCTGTACCTAATAAGGATCCCAGTCAAGCAACAACTTTGATCTTGACATATAAGATGAAATATATATTTCAATTATATCCAGTGTTTCAGATAAATAAATGTTCCATGCACAAAACTAAGCATTTAGCCCAAGAAATACTGAGGAGAGTTGATGAGCACATCCATGGGATTTAGCTTTAGAGGACAGTTTATGAGCTATGTTAAATTGATAGCTAAAAGTCTTACGAGGCTCCGCCCAACACAATGCCTTGCAGCGCCCTCTGGGGTGTGGTGTTATCCACCAGGCAACAGAGTGCCTTGTCCACATCTTCCCGGATGAACTGGTTGCTCTCCCCACCTTTAATCAGCAACGTCTTGGTCGTCAGCTCTACCTCCTACACCAGAAAATGCACATGACAATCAATCAAACAAGAAAACATGTCATGAATACGTATGGTTTGCTTTATTTTCACTTGCTACTTACTACAGCTAATTGACTTCAAGCAATGCTAGTTTATACAGCATCTTTAAACAATAAATGTGGCCAAGCCAGGCAGACTCACCGTGTCCATCCCTTTCTTCAGATAGAGAAACATTTCACCAACAGTTGTGATAGCAAGTCTGGATACTTGGGACCTCAGGTTTGTGATCTGAATATCAGACAATTGATGGCTTAAAATACTGCATTCGTCTCACTTGGCTGCTTAAAGCTATTACCTTTAAAGCAATCATGTAACTGATTCTGATCAAAGCCTCTGATAATCTCATAGGCTAAACTCGTGGTTTTTATTTGTCCGTTTAACTGTTATGAAGATTGACTTCAATTCTGACAATGTGCTGTTAGCAATGTTAATTAAAAATTCTTTTACAGCATATACTAAAATGAACATTTCTATAAACTTTAAGCAATATACCAAAACATTTTCAGTGAGTAAAGAAAAAAAAAGCATTGATGAACCTCTTTACAGATGGCAATGACAAGAGGATGTAGTGAGGCCAGCACAGTGTCAGGGTGGTGGACACACAGTCTCCTCAACATGTTGATCCCCTCACACTTGGTCTCCCTGGGGACAGCACACATACACAGGTTGTAGTTTTACAGCAGTCAACTTGTCATTAGTCATATAGAGGACAGCAAACATACACAGGTTGTTTGTTGTACAGCAGTCAACTTGTCATTAGTCATATAGAGGACAGCAAACATACACAGGTTGTTTGTTGTACAGCAGTCAACTTTTCATTAGTCATATAGAGGACAACACACAGATTGTAGTTTGTTTTATACCAGTGAACTTGTAATCAGTCATTTAGAAAAAAAAAGGTTAATGTAAAAAATGAAATAATTGTTTAAGTTTTGTATCAGGTGACCTTACTGATCTATAAGATGACCAGCTAAGTGACCTGTCAGTGACCAATGAGGCAATCAATACATGACCAAATGACCTATCAGGTGACCTATTAAGTGACACATACCAATCATCTTGTTCCAGTTTTTTCATCAGCTCCCTGTAGGCTGCCTCGCTGTCCTTGAATGGCTTCCAGTCTGCTGGGTTATCTCCCTCAAAAGGTGCCAGTGATGACGTCACAGGCATGGGGAAAGTGGAGACTAGTTCGTTGCTCCTGAAATTTGGAGGGAGGTATCGTTGTTGAACATCTCCAGCACTTTATGTCAGACAAACAATGAAAACTCCCAAGTGTAAAGCCAATGACAAAACAAATTTTAAAAAAGAGGATGCCTGCTAACACAAACTTAGAAATAGGACAGGTAGCTGAGGGGTAAGTGTATTGGTCAGATAGGAGAAGTAATGTTTAGCTCATGAGTCAGGATCACATCTTATTTCTTTGTCTAGATAATATATAAACTTGGAACCATGTTTTATATATCCCACTGGAGGAATTCTACTGGCCATTAAGTGAAGGAAGTTGAACCCCATCTACAATGACAACAGGCAGAAGACACCTGTGTGGAACCCACTGAATGTGACTCACGTTTTGATGACCTTCCTGGGGGTGACAGCTGGCGCCTGAGGTTTGGGGGGTGGAATACTGGCTGGCTTAGTTGTAATACTGGGGCTGGTGGCTGATGTGTTGCTGGGGGTGACGGAGGGGGAGGAGTTGATGCTGGAACCAGACCCAGAGGCTGACCCAGACACTGACAAAACTGGAAGAGAAAACAAATGTGACACTTTACTGTCCAGGAAATTACACTGAAAATAACAATTAAACTTTTATAAAATTTAATTAACCAAACATTTAAAATTTCAAAACACAAGTTAGTTATTCTTTAGTAAATTAATAGCTGGTCAAAATGAATCAAAAGCAACTTGTATTTTAAAGCATCCAAAAACTCATTAAAGAAGTCCTGTTTGTAGGTATACAGCTTGTAACTACATAACAATAAATTCTCTTGTGTATAAAAAGCACAAAAAAACCCAACAAAAAAAGTCTGATTGTATTCTTACATTCAAAACTGTGTATACTCTCAGCACTGGACAAGCGCTTGAGTTTCTCTTGTTGTCTCTCCCTCTCTTTCTTTAACTTTTCCTCTTTTTCCCTCTCCCTGCGTTCTTCCTTCTCTCTTTCTTTACTTTCCTTTTCAACTCGTCTTCTTTCATCCTCCTCCAACCTCTGCTGTTGTTTGATGGCCAATTTCTCTTTCAAAGACTGAGTCAGGCTCAGGCTGTTTTCCTGTTCAATCACAAAAATATCAGGCTCAGGCAAACTTTGATCTAATTTTTAAAACCAATACATAACACATAAGAACCAATAGGTTCTCAAATCAATCTAGGTAAGAAGGGAAACATTTCAAGACAAACAAGCTTTTACAACCTATCTAGTTAAACCACTCTTTTCATTTCCTGTGTGCTTGGAAAAAAGTTGAAAAGGAAAGAAAAGAAAGAGAGAAGGAAGAACGCAGGGAGAGGGAAAAAGAGGAAAATAAGTAACAGACAAACTTTTTTCAATCTATCCCAGCATTCAAGCACACACAAGCACTAGAAACTTACGTCATCCAGTCTCTGAGCTGTAGTTAGATATATCCACAGTGCTCCTCACAGCAACACCAAGCAAATCATTCAAGCACACACAAGCACTAGAAACTTACATCATCCATATCATCATCCAGGCTGGATGTCTCTGAGCTGTAGTTAGAAATATCCACAGTGCTCCTCACAGCAACACCAACCAAAGCATTCAAACACACACAAGCACTAGAAACTTACGTCATCCATATCATCATCCAGGCTGGATGTCTCTGAGCTGTAGTTAGAAATATCCACAGTGCTCCTCACAGCAACACCAACCACGCCACTTGGGGCAGCTTTAACTTCTGTCTTCCTGCGCTCCATACGTACATCTGGGGCAGCAGCAGGCGTGTGGTCAGCACTGACAGAGGTGTCAAACATGCCTGGGAAAGTTGACAGCAGACTTGCTCATAAAAATACCAACTCATTTAATTATTTCTAAATTAGTGACTGCCTTAGACAATCATGCTAATTAACAAGATTTAGGGTTACTTTTACGTTTTTATATTATTTTCATGTAACATAATCAATTTTATTTCTATTTTGTTTCATATATAGAAAATGTTGGTAAGACATAATACTAGACAAAATGTTAGTCATATCAAAGTGCAATTTATTCAACAAGTTAGTGAAAAACCAAAAAAATGTGAATTTGAAAATTTTAAGTGCAAAAACAAAAACAGCCAGTTAAAAGTGTTAGTTAAATTGTCCTTGTTAGATGTAATTTTGATAACTCCCATAATAATTGATAAAATCTTGCCTTAATTACCATTAACATTATAAGTGATATACTCTATCATATTGTTGACTGACCTACGCATAGCGCCTGACCCACCCATGTCAACTGACCTACCCTTACCATTATAACTGAGGTGACCTACCCCTGCCCACAAGAGAGATTCCAGGTCCCTGCACATATTTCTCATCTGATTCTGGTTCAATGCTACCTGGCAGGTGCATACTGGTCAGTCCAAAAGGTGAGGAGGTCAACAGAGCGCCTGCAACGTTTGCCAGAACACATTTCAAACCATTCAACATTTTCAACAGGCTGCTGACACTGGCAGAGGCTTTTAGTTCACTCAATCTTGCTGACCATGACAAGAATATTTGTCCATGGCAAAAAAGAATAGCTGAACATGACAAGAATATTTGTCCATGGCAAAAATGAAAAGCTGAACATGACAAGAATATTTGTCCATGGCAAAAATGAATAGCTGAACATGACAAGAATATTTGTCCATGGCAAAAATGAAAAGCTGAACATGACAAGAATATTTGTCCATGGCAAAAATGAATAGCTGACCATGACAAAAATAGTTGTCCATGACAAAATAATAGCTAACCATAACAAAAAGAATAGCTGACCATGACAAAAATAGCTGACCATGACAAAATAATAGCTAGCCATAACAAAAAGAACAGTTGAATGAAACAAAACAAAATGATGACCATGACAAAAAAAAGAATAGCTGCTGAGGTGTAGCTAGGGGAGGACGGGTGGGGAGGACGGGTGGGGCGGCCGCGGGGGCGCCAAAAGGGGTAGAGAAATTAATTTGAAAGCTCATTTTAAGCTGAAGTATCAAATTATAAACTGTCAAAGCTACAAAAAATAAACGACTACAATGCTTAACACACTGATTTAACAACTTTGTGACACTGAAATAGAACATGTTGCAGCACAGTAACTGGTAAGAAGGGCCACAAACCTTTCCACCTGACAGGAATAACTATATATAGAAAAAGGAGGGGCGCAAAATTGATAGTCCGCCCCAGGCGCCAGATTAGGTCGCTACGCTTCTGAATAGCTGACCATAAAAAGAATAGTTTAAAAGTTGGAATGAATGGGGAGAGCTTGAGAATCTCCAGCTAAAGTCCACTGATCAACAGAAAGATCTCAGAACAAAAGCTCTCAGAAAAGACATTTCCAACAGTGTTTTTTGACCTGTGATGAATTGTAACTACTAAGATAAGGAAACACCAGAGCAAGTTATTCAAACAGAAAAAATGTTCTTAGAATTCAAACAACTGGATCTAAGATTAGGCGAGTGTGTGATGGCAGGTACAGGCTGGTAGTTATCAGGTTAGTCAGGTGAGCTAGGTTAATTAGGGTGAGTTCACACTCAAGACAAGTCTAAAGGCTGAAAAATAAAAGTGAAAACAAATACAACAAACTTGAAAAAAAAAAATAATGGTAAAACTCAACAGGTCTTTGACTGTATAGAGATCATTAAACAACAAATTTGTGTTTATGGCTTTTGTTTTTAATAAACCTGGGATTGGTTAAAACCTTCTAGCAAATGTATTTCATTTTTCTATCAAATACCTGTTGTATTGTTATCAAAATGTTAGTGCTTCCATTTAAAGTGAGTGGGTTAAGTTTTGAGAACAATACAATTGTTAGAACAAGCTAACTCTCAAACAACAGTCAAAGCCAAAACTTGTGCAGTTAAACAATGTCAAGAGCAAAAAAAAAGCAAGAGAGACTGAGGTGAGACTGACCTCTGTTGATCATCAACTTCCTCTTCTCTTTGATTCTACTGGTGCTTGCAGCTGGTGGAACTACTTTAGCCTCTGATGTCTCATCTGCGTAGCCCTTGCCCACTACCTGGACATCAGCTGTTTTGTTTTCTCTGAAGGTCACGCCACTAGTTGGGTTGTAGTCCAGATGGCCAACACTGCCTTTGTTGTCATCTGTCTCCTCTGTGTTGCGGCGCCCTCTGTTGTTGTTGTTAGATGTATGGGCAGGCTTGGTTTCTGGTTTTTTACTGCTGGGACAGCAGAGGAAGGAGGTTAGCCAGACAATGGAAACAAATATTTACAAACCATATATTAAAATGAACAATACTAACATATAAAACAATCTAGGAGTTTAGTCAGACAATGGAAACAAATATTTACAAACCATATATTAACATGAACAATACTAACAAAAAAATATCTAGGAGTTTAGCCAGACAATGGAAACAAATATTTACAAACCATATATTAAAATGAACAATACTAACATATAAAACAATCTAGGAGTTTAGTCAGACAATGGAAACAAATATTTAAAAAGAAAATATTAAAAAGAACAATCTATATATATAAAGCAAAGTGGTCAAGTGCCCGATAGGGCACTTCCCGGCGCCGCAGGCGCGTCAAATTTGGCACGATGGTGCCTTCGGGCGATAGAACACGAAGGCCGGTGACGGTTGGCCGAAAAGTCGACGGAGAGGGGGTCAAAACTGACCTCGACTGACCGGCGCCTTATATGGGCTATATTACGAAAAATTTTTTCCTCCGACGACCCCCATTGAAATTTTGTGAGGTGGTAGGAGAACGCCATGGGGTGTCACAAAAAACTCGCCATGTCCGGGAAAAATCGGGAAATGGGTCAAAACTGACCAGTCGTATTTCCCTATATAATCTTTGTATTTTATGGGAAAAACAGAGGGCCATTTCAAAACGGATTTTAGGGCTCTTACCCTCTTTACATCTGGCTAATTTTTGGCATGTTTATAGGTAAATGGCTTGGCCGTAGGGCAGACCTGTCAGTTTCACTCAAAGCCCTCGACGAGGGCTAAAAAGTGACCGCGAGTGAAATTCTCTTTATATGAGCTCTATTACGAAAAAATTTTTCCTCCGACGACCCCCCTTGAAATTTTGTGAGGTGGTAGGAGAACGACTTGGGGTGTCACAAAAAACTCGCCATGTCCGGGAAAAATCGGGAAATGGGTCAAAACTGACCAGTCGTATTTCCCTATATAATCTTTGTATTTTATGGGAAAAACAGAGGGTCATTTCAAAACGGATTTTAGGGCACTTACCCTCTTTACTTCTGGCTACATTTTTGCATGCTCTTAGGTAAATGGCTTGACCTTTAGGGAAAACTGTCGGTTTTACTCAAAGCCCTCGACGAGGGCTAAAAAGTGACCGCGAGTGAAATTCTCTTTATATGAGCTCTATTACGAAAAAATTTTTCCTCCGACGACCCCCCTTGAAATTTTGTGAGGTGGTAGGAGAACGACTTGGGGTGTCACAAAAAACTCGCCATGTCCGGGAAAAATCGGGAAATGGGTCAAAACTGACCAGTCGTATTTCCCTATATAATCTTTGTATTTTATGGGAAAAACAGAGGGTCATTTCAAAACGGATTTTAGGGCACTTACCCTCTTTACTTCTGGCTACATTTTTGCATGCTCTTAGGTAAATGGCTTGACCTTTAGGGAAAACTGTCGGTTTTACTCAAAGCCCTCGACGAGGGCTAAAAAGTGACCGCGAGTGAAATTCTCTTTATATGAGCTCTATTACGAAAAATTTTTTCCTCCGACGACCCCCCTTGAAATTTTGTGAGGTGGTAGGAGAACGACTTGGGGTGTCACAAAAAACTCGCCATGTCCGGGAAAAATCGGGAAATGGGTCAAAACTGACCAGTCGTATTTCCCTATATAATCTTTGTATTTTATGGGAAAAACAGAGGGTCATTTCAAAACGGATTTTAGGGCACTTACCCTCTTTACTTCTGGCTACATTTTTGCATGCTCTTAGGTAAATGGCTTGACCTTTAGGGAAAACTGTCGGTTTTACTCAGAGCCCTCGACGAGGGCTAAAAAGTGACCGCGAGTGAAATTCTCTTTATATGAGCTCTATTACGAAAAAAAATTTCCTCCGACGACCCCCCTTGAAATTTTGTGAGGTGGTAGGAGAATGCCTGGGGGTGTCACAAAAAACTTGGCATATCTGGGAAAACTTCGTAAAGGGGTCAAAACTGACCAGTCGTATTTCCCTATATAATCTTTGTATTTTATGGGAAAAACATAGGGTCATTTCAACGCAGACTTTAGGGTACTTAAACTCAGTATATCTGGCTAATTTTTTGCATACTCTTAGGTAAATGGCTTGACCTTTAGGGAAAACTGTCGGTTTTACTCAAAGCCCTCGACGAGGGCTAAAAAGTGACCGCGAGTGAAATTCTCTTTATATGAGCTCTATTCCTCCGACGACCCCCCTTGATATTTTGTGAGGTGGTAGGAGAACGCCTTGGGGTGTCACAAAAAACTCGACATATCTGGGAAAACTTCGTAAAGGGGTCAAAACTGACCAGTTGTATTTCCCTATATAATCTTTGTATTTTATGGGAAAAACATAGGGTCATTTCAACGCAGACTTTAGGGTACTTAAACTCAGTATATCTGGCTAATTTTTTGCATACACTTCTATAGATGACTAGGCCGTATGGAAAAACTGTTGGTCAGACTCAAAGCCCTCGACCAGTGCTAAAAGATGACCGCGAGTGAAATTCTCCTTATATGAGATATATATAAATAAATTGACGATCGATCCCCTTAATATTATTTGAGGTCGTAGACCGACCCTGGAGGGTAACAAAAAAACTTTATTCCCGTCGGAAAAAGCCATTGTAGACGTTAAATATGTTTATATATCGTATTTTCTTATATAAGCATAGTAACTGTTTAAAAAAAAAAGTAAACACTGACATACGTCATTCGGTTAATTTTCAAGGGAGGTAACCTTTTTAAATAATTATTTTTCAAATAATTGTATACTATTTTAAACAGAAACAGAAAACGACAAAGTATAGCATTTGTTTTAAAAAAAAAATAAGTTGTTAATTAAGCTACGTATCATAATTAAATAAAAAATTAATTTTAAAAGTCAATGTAATATAAATTGTGAGATATACTGTTCACGGAACCTCTGTAGTTCTATTTCCATTTTAGTTATAAATTGCGTATTTTCGAAAGCGGATATTAAACAACATACAACATCTTCTCTAAAATTAGCATTACTGTTTAGATTTAAGAACTCCACGCCTCATCCATCACCAAATAATTAGTATTCAAATTATCAAATGTTTTTGAAAACCTAAGCGAAGCTAGGCAGAATGCCTAGTAATAATATAAAAACTAAATTTTAACCTCTTTTTGTTTTCATGCTCTTCCAACTGGTGGCTGTTGATTTTCAGGCTTCTTTCACTGTTTTGTTTTTCTAACTTTTCAAACAACTTGTCTGCCCTTTTCTTTGTTGCACTGCTCCTTATTGTCTTCAGAGAGCCATTCATCTAGACAAAGATTATAACACCATTCAACTAAACAAAGATTATAACACCATTCATCTAGACAACAAAGATTATAACACCATTCAACTAAACAACAAAGATTATAACACCCTTCATTTAGACAACACAGATTTATCTAGACAAAAAAGATTATAACACCATTTATCTAGACAACAAAGATTATAACACCATTCATCTAGACAACAAAGATTATAACACCCTTCATCTAGACAACAAAGGTATGACAGACTTGTAAGCAGATATTATTCTAACTAGTGACTTGCATGCACACAATGCAGAACACCTAAGCCTATAACAATGTAAACATACTGAAGATTTGCTGTCATCAGATGCAACATAGGCGCTGTCACTATCATCAAAATCTGAGGACATGGATATAGGTGGCACCTTCCTTCTGCCTGCTGACCCTCTAGCAATGGTGGCCTTTCTGGGGATGGGGGTATCATCCTCATCTAGAGGATAGCATCAATTTGGACATGTCATTATTGGAACCTACTAGAATATTGTTGAATATCAACATCTACACATATACAAGGCCTGCATATTCTATATGAACATCTGCATATCTAGCTGGATTTTAAAAAATTCTTTTGAGTACATTTTGCTGAGCTTGTAATTTTGTAATTTATTTACTTTATGTCTATGTTGACATGATGAGAACTTGTCATTTGGTAAAACATCACCGATGGCTGGTTCAGTAACAAGACTAAATGTTCCCATAACCAAACTAAATATTTGCATATCCCATAACCAGACTAAATGTTCCCATATCCCATAACCAGACTAAATGTTCCCATATCCCATAACCAGACTAAATGTTCCCATATCCCATAACCAGACTAAATGTTCCCATATCCCATAACCAGACTTAATGTTCCCATAACCAGACTAAATGTTCCCATAACCAGACTAAATGTTCCCATAACCAGACTAAATGTTCCCATATCCCATAACCAGACTAAATGTTCCCATATCCCATAACCAGACTAAATGTTCCCATAACAAGACTATATGTTCCCATAACCAAACTAAATATTTGCATATCCCATAACCAGACTAAATGTTCCCATAACCAGACCAAATGTTCCCATATCCCATAAGCAGACTAAATGTTCCCAAATCCCATAACCAGACTAAATGTTCCCATAACCAGACTAAATGTTCCCAAATCCCATAACCAGACTAAATGTTCCCATATCCCATAACCAGACTAAATGTTCCCATATCCCATAACCAGACTAAATGTTCCCATATCCCATAAGCCGACCAAACGTTCTAAATATAACATCCCTACCTGGTTTGAAACCATAATAGCTGCTGCTGTCATTAGGGTCATCAACATCAACTGGAAGTAAATCATCAACATTTTACATTAGAACTTTAATCATCTAAATTCAATCACCTAAATCAACATTTGCAGAAGCACTAAATTTTATTTAAATAAATATCAAGTTAAGTGTACAACTGAGAAATTCTAAATTCAAGTCAAAGCAGTCAGCAAAACCTTGTTGTCTATTAAAATCAAAGTTCATTAATGTAAGCAATATAGGAGGGAGGAGGGGGGGGGGGCTGCTTTGTAAAGTTCCCAGTAGAAAGGTTCAACAAACTTTTTGTTGTGCTGAGATCATTTACCATCTGGTTGTCTCCCTTGAGTGATCTCTCCTCACTCAATTCACTACTGTTATTAAACTCAAGTGTCTAACACTACCCCCCCCCCCCCCCCCCCCCCACACACACAAACATTCTAGTATGCTGCTATTGATCACACCAGTATCCTGTACTGGATATGTGGACCAACAATTTAACTTTGTTAAATTTCTTACCCACAAAAAACTTGCTGCAGGAATGTGCCTGTTCTGTCCCAACTCTTCCCCCCCCCCCACCCCCACCTCACACACACTTCCCCCAGTGGTAATTATTAATTGTTTAATCATAGTTAAAGCCCTGCACGCATCAAATAAATGTGAAGCCTTACGGCTGTACGGCTGTACGTTCATTATTAGAAGCCATCCGGCTACACGTCCATCGTTGGAGTGCTATCTTAGAAGGACAACCACCCATTAAACAGTTGACACAAAAGAGTTGACACAAAGTTTAAAACTTCCCGGCGTGCTCACACAGTGACCTTGGGTTTACCATGTGATCAGCTGAGTGACATCCTATCGTTGATCTTCTAACAAACAGGAGATGTTGACCACCACCGTACCACGACACAAGAAAAACGTGTAGCCCACACATTTAGGTGACGTCACGACACAAGAAAAACGTGTAGCCCACACATTTTAGGTGACGTCACGACACAAGAAAAACGTGTAGCCCACACATTTTAGGTGACGTCACGACACAAGAAAAACGTGTAGCCAACATGTTTTAGGTGAAGTCTCGAAACTGTGTAAACAATATCGTAAAAATCGGGTGCGATGTTATTTAAAAAATATATGGTTTTAAAAAGCTGACGGTTTGATTTTTTAAGGAGTTAACTTCAGATTGGACATATTTAATGTTAAAGTATTTCGGTAACTAAACACAATTTTCTAAACAAGCAAAAATATATTTTTTTACGAAGTTTATCACACAAAATTACAACAATCATGGCTAAAGTAGGTCGTGTGGTGGTTTTTTTTTTAATTAATTGTATTTAAAACATGTATCGGCAAAGTTTAAAGTCCAGTTTTTAATGAAGTTGGGTTTTCACAATATCGATCAATAATAATCAATCAATGTTTGGCAAACGAAAGTTAAACTTCAAGCTCTAACTTAGGCTTTAGGAAAGGAAATAGAAATGTAGCCTTAAACAAACAAAAAAAATATGTTCAAGTACTCTGGATTTGCAACCTTTATACCAATTATTGTAAACAAATTAATTCCTGAATTATTTTCAAGCTTTAAGATTTTTTCCCCTTTTGATGACAAAATGTAAAAAATAAACCGGGAGTGATCTCCATCTCGCTAAACTTTCTCAAATATTCATATATAACACTACTGGGGATGGCAAAGCGGGATATAGACATGATTTTTAATCCATTTTTACTTTCTTGTATACGAAGTAGGCCCTATAGAGAAAATATTGTAATCGTGCAAAAAAAAATCGAGATTGGCAACGTTTTACACCTCCCTGAGTCGGAAAAACATAGTTTTGCAATCTTTTCCGTATGTCTCTGTGTGTGTATGTGTGTGTATGTGTGTCTGTGAACACGATAACTTGAGTACCGTTACAGCTAGGTTGATGTAATTTCATCTAAAAATGTTATATCAAATTTGTAGTTTTGTATAAGCTTTTCAGCGATTTCCGGTTACCGGAAGTGGAACTTATTCTACTTTCAATTTTTCAAAAGCCTATAACTTAAATAGGCTACTGTTTCAGATAAACGAAATTTCACATATAAGTAAAATATCTAATTATCTGCCTTCTGTCAAATTTTGAGTTATTTCCGTTGACCGGTAGTAGTATTTTACGCTATTTCCGGTTTCTCAAAAAAAAAAACGCATGTACATTTATAAAGTACTAATAGACACCCACTGAGTACATTTATAACCGCCCGTGTACATTTTCTACCCAGCATGCATCGGGTAGACAAAATGTAGACAGAGATGAATGGAGAACCAATGACGTCAGTAGAAATCAATGGCGGGCGTGTCATCGATTGCGCATCAACTTTACGATCCGTGACATTAATTAAAACAGATCAAGTCAATTTAAGAAAAAAATTCTGTTTGACGTCCGAGAGCTACCTTCATTAATGTACCCAGATAAGTGGACGAAATTAATGTGAACCTTTTTAACATGGACGAAACTATTGCCACCCTTTTAAAAACGGACAGTCTATGTTGTTGCCATTTTTATTTGAAATGTTGCGGTTATTCTATTGTTGGCTTATTCAGATGATTCCGTCTAGTACACACGTTAAGTCACATCAAGTCTCTGTATGGTTATGATAAAATATTGTAACACATCCCTACCATTTCTACTGGGGCAATCTCTTCCAAACTTACAGATAACAAAAGAATATTAATTTTTTTATCCAATTTAATATTTCATTGGTGATTTAAACGAATTGAAAGATTACTATATTCAAAGCTCTGGCAAAGCTCTGATTGTTTTCAACATTTAAATATCGACTTACTGTTTTGAATTTTTTACAAATCTTAGAACACTATGAAATTTAAGCTTTCACTTTCACAAAAAAAGCACATTAAACAACATAAAAATAACCTTTACACATATGCCCGTTTTAATGAAATCAAACCCAAAAAAAATGTCATGAGTTCAATCAAACAATTTTTGTGTAAACAATCGACCTTTACTATAACATCACATCTATTATCATGACGTTTCTTAATAAAGAAGCACAGAATAGAGCTCGACAGGTCGTACAGCTCTGGTATAAAGGAATAGATTTTTACTATTCAAAATCGAGGTTGTGGCAATTATATAATTCTACTGTTGGGAGGGGGGGGGGGGGTTACAAAAAAGGGGCAATATAGCCGGGTAGTTTAAAATTAGCAGGGTAGGAAATAAAAAATGCATCAGCAAATATTGCCTAGAAACAATAGCTGGCTGGCGTTGACCAGATTAGCATAAGAAAGCTGAATCAATCAGCTGTGGCTTCATTATTCACAGCCAACCCAAACACATCAGGGCCATGGAAACAATCAGCCATTGATACACACACATCATTCAACAATAGTTGAAGTGTGTTGTTGTTTTATCCAAGTAATTATAGCTCAGGGGCAGATCTATTGTTGGGTCAGGGGCAGATCCAAGAGTTGGGTCAGGGGCAGATCCAAGAGTTGGGTCAGGGGCAGATCAAAGAGTTGGGTCAGGGGCAGATCCAAGAGTTGGGTAAGGGTCAGATCCAAGAGTTGGGTCAGGGGCAGATCCAAGAGTTGGGTCAGGGGCAGATCCAAGAGTTGGGTAAGGGTCAGATCCAAGAGTTGGGTAAGGGGCAGATCCAAGAGTTGGGTCAGGGGCAGATCCAAGAGTTGGGTCAGGGGCAGATCCAAGAGTTGGGTCAGGGGCAGATCCAAGAGTTGGATCAGGGGCAGATCCAAGAGTTGGGTCAATGATTATACTGTGTACACGGTTAACTGTGCAGTTAACAAGCAATTAGTACACAACTTGTCTATATGTACTACATACGTTGTGTACACAACCTACTGGGCAAATTGTGCACATGAGCTCTACTGTATAGTGTAAAAAGTTAAATCGTTGCCCAAGTAATCAATAATGTATATATTTAATGAGGTGCTGAGGGCTAAGCCTGATCAAAGTTGCATGACGTAAGAAATGGCTAATGCCCAGTGAGAAGAGATCAATTCACTTAGTCTTCACATTGAGACAAAATACATCTCATTGTCTTCTTGTATAAGGGTGGGGGGGGTGGGGTGAAAACACTGGCTACAGATACAGAATTTAGCCACATGATGTGTTTATTGATGTCACCATCAAAACACACGACCTAACTTTAAAGATTCTGTGCATTAGTTATATGCTGTTTGTGCTATTTTTATTAAGGTTTCCTTTAAAAACCACAAGGTTTGATGAGCACATGAAGTTAGAGTTCAAATGTTTCTCTGACTTCTGCCTGTAAAGGGATAGTGTGGTCAGTCCAATGCCCAGCCCTCTTTCCCCTACTAGAGTCCAGTACACATGAGAACTGGAATAAAACACATCCTACGATGTCCAGTGATATGTTATTTCTATTCGTTAATTTAATGTAAGTTGTAAGCTGGTACTTTATGAACAAGAGGGGACACACACAGGGAACAAGAGGGAATACACACGGGGAACACGAGGGAATACATACAGTGGACAAGAGGGAATACACACAGGGAACAAGAGGGAACACACACAGGGAACACGAGGGAATACATACAGGGAACACGAGGGAATACATACAGTGAACAACAGGGAATACACACAGGGAACAAGATGATATACACAGGGAACAAGAGGGAATATACACAGGGAACAAGAGGGAATACACACAGGGAACACGAGGGAATACACACAGGGAACAAGAGGGAACACACACAGGGAACACGAGGGAATACACACAGGGAACACGAGGGAATACACACAGGGAACACGAGGGAATACACACAGGGAACACGAGGGAATACATACAGGGAACATGAGGGAATACATACAGTGAACAACAGGGAATACACACAGGGAACAAGATGATATACACAGGGAACAAGAGGGAATATACACAGGGAACAAGAAGGAATACACACGGGGAACAAGATGATATACACAGGGAACAAGAGGGAATACACACGGGGAACAAGTGAGAGCAAGAGGGAGTACACACGTCGCAGTGATGTGGAAGATAAAGAGTGGGGTAGACACAGTGGGATACTGGGGTAGACACGAGGAAGCTACTTCAGGCATGTTGATACACAGGTTTAGTGTCACTTTTCACGGTTAGTTTACAGGTTTAGTGTCAGCTATTAAACATGTATACACTGTTGGTTTATTGTCACCCATAATACAGATAAGGTTCAGCACTTAAGCCACGTGATTAGCACATTACTTAAGATAACAGGTTTCAAATACCTGAGATCGGATCCAACTGAGATCTGGCACTTCGCTGATCCTGTCGGTTGTAGCCATTTTCTCGGATATCTGAAACAATACAAGCTACGTGTTTACGGGGACGGTGAGGTGGGGGTGATGACGTCATAAGGAATGGACTTGTAAGATGATAAGAGATGGTGGACATGTGACAAAGTGTAAGCTATAGGAGCAGCATGTAGCGGCATCCATTACCTGGGGTGGATGTAAAAGTTGCCGACTTTGAGCAGCTGACACCCATCAGCAGTAGGGTGAAGGTCATCTAGAAATGTTTGCACACGCGTGTAAATATCACGTTCTATCAGCAAGCACGACAAGAGCTGAACAAGGTGACGGTACCACAGCCATGAGTGACACGAGGCTCACATGGTTACTGCCAGGCCCCACCATTAAACACAACTTACATCCCGTCCAGTCATTGAAGCAAGCACAAGATTATCCACCACATGAAAACCAGCGGTTATCAAACTTAGGTCCACGAAAACAAATACAACTGATTACTCCAATAGGGTCGTGCGTACACAGGCGGCGATCTATTCCGGAGACCAATAGTTCTGTTGGAAATAGAACCACGTGACACAGTGACGTAATTTACAGGGGCCAAACTTGAAAACAATGGCGGTTCTACATGTTTCTATTTATCTGTATTCTTAACACGCGATAGTCGCGGCAATGGCGGTATCCACACGGAATTGTAGCATAATAAAGAGGCAACCCGCTCTAAGGTAACGCAGCAGAAGGGAGGGGCCGTTAAGACTTCTCTCCCCTCCAGCGCTCAAATAGAACAATCAGTAGCGTGAATGGGATCAATCACTGCAATAAGGGGAGAGCACTTAGTGCGCTCTACAACAATCGCCGCGGCCTCTCAAGCACACAAAGTGCTACTACCAACCAAACTTCTTCAAATACACACCACTGATTGGTAACGACGGCTGGCTCAATATGGCGGCGAGGGGTAGAGTGTCCGAGATAATAAAAAAAACCAAACACGCAACGGTTTTCATCAGCTTTAAGTCGTGGATTTAACGGTCATCAACTTAATGACTGAACCAAGTTCTAAGTGAGGCTTTCAAGATAGCGAGAATAAGTGGTGCATTTGTAAGAAGGGAACATCATTGTATTTCACTCAGCTGTTGTACCCTGTGTGTTTGGTACTTTTTCAGTCAATCAGATGTATTGGTACTTCAATCAATGGGCTTATACCAGTTGTGTTTGGTACTTTTGTCAATGGCCTTGTACCAGATGTGTTTGGTACTTTTTCAGTCAATCAGATGTATTGGTACTTCAATCAATGGGCTTATACCAGTTGTGTTTGGTACTTTTGTCAATGGCCTTGTACCAGATGTGTTTGGTACTTTTTCGGTCAATCACATGTATTGGTACTTCAATCAATGGGCTTATACCAGTTGTGTTTGGTACTTTTGTCAATGGCCTTGTACCAGATGTGTTTGGTACTTTTGTCAATGGGCTGCTACCAGATGTGTTTAGTACTTCTGTCAATGGTCTTTTATCAGAAGTATTTGGTACGCCAGTCAACTCTTGTACCAGATGTGTACACAGGATTGTACCACATGTGTACACACGATTATACCAGATGTGTACACACGATTGTACCAGATATGTACACGATTGTACCAAATAAATCGGAAACCTCGGGCCCGACACCGACGGAAACTACTGAAGCGGACGACGGCTCTTCTTTAATCAGCACTATTGGATTATTTAAAGCGTCCATTCGATTCAAGCCGTAGGTGGAGTGTGTCCATAACGACGGTCTCAACATTGACATACACCCTCAGACAATACACGCAGGCAACAGGCGGACTCAATGGACGGGATGTAATATACTGTGTCAACAATCAGGCTATCATTACATGCATGGCTAGGTGGATCCAATGGGCAAATAACAAGGCTTGGTGGATCAAATGGGCAAATAACAAGGCTAGGTGGATCCAATGGGCAAATAACAAGGCTAGGTGGATCCAATGGACAAATAACAGGGCTAGGTGGATCAAATGGACAAATAACAAGGCTAGGTGGTTCCAATGGGCAAATAACAGGGCTACGTTGATCCAATGAGCATACAAGGCAAATGGATCTAATGAACAAATAACAAGGCTAGGTGGATCCAATGCGCATAAAAGGCCAATAAAAGGTATTTAAACTACCATTTAAAGAAAAAAATCGCCGCTGTCGGGGCAAGTTAACTGTAACGGCTAGCTCTAGGTGAGTGCTTCTTGCCAGTCAGAAAACACTGTAACACGACTGAAATGTCACCTCTAACGGAATGCCATGTCCAATAGAAAGTATTGTATAAACCCTACGATGAGCTAAGGAGGTATTAAAGGAATCACCTGACGCATCAAGAAACTTGCTTGTTTTTTCAATAGGGCTTTTAACCCAATCAGATGGTGTTTTAAATGTCAGAGAGTCGAGTTCAATGCGCTAACAACAGCCTAATTAGTTCTAGATGTACCGGGGGGGGGGGGGGGGAAGAGATGTGTCAAACCACTTTTCCTAAGAAAACTTGAACATTCCTACCAGGTAATACTAACTAGGACAGAATCAAGTTGAAAATTAGCCTGGTCGAGTCAACTGTATGGCCAAAAGGGGACGCTACTTGAGTCAGTTATTAGCTGTCTACGACTAACTGGTCTAGTAACCTGTATGGCCAAAAGGGGACGCTACTTGCGTCAGTTATTAGCTGTCTACGACTAACTGGTCTAGTAACCTGTATGGCCAAAAGGGGACGCAACTTGAGTCAGTCATTAACTGTCTACGACTAACTGGTCTAGTAACCTGTATGGCCAAAAGAGGACGCAACTTGAGTCAGTCATAACTGTCTACGACTAACTGGTCTAGTAACCTGTATGGCCAAAAGGGGACGCAACTTGAGTCAGTCATTAACTGTCTACGACTAACTGGTCTAGTAACCTGTATGGCCAAAAGGGGACGTAACTTGAGTCAGTCATTAACTGTCTACGACTAACTGGTCTAGTAACCTGTATGGCCAAAAGGGGACGCAACTTGAGTCAGTCATTAACTGTCTACGACTAACTGGTCTAGTAACCTGTATGGCCAAAAGGGGACGCAACTTGAGTCAGTCATTAACTGTCTACGACTAACTGGTTTAGTAACCTGTATGGCCAAAAGGGGACGCAATTTGAGTCAGTCATTAACTGTCTACGACTAACTGGTCTAGTAACCTGTATGGCCAAAAGGGGACGTAACTTGAGTCAGTCATTAACTGTCTACGACTAACTGGTCTAGTAACCTGTATGGCCAAAAGGGGACGCAACTTGAGTCAGTCATTAACTGTCTACGACTTACTGGTCTAGTAACCTGTATGGCCAAAAGGGGACGCAACTTGAGTCAGTCATTAACTGTCTACGACTAACTGGTCTAGTAACCTGTATGGCCAAAAGGGGACGCAATTTGAGTCAGTCATTAACTGTCTACGACTAACTGGTCTAGTAACCTGTATGGCCAAAAGGGGACGCAACTTGAGTCAGTCATTAACTGTCTACGACTAACTGGTCTAGTAACCTGTATGGCCAAAAGGGGACGCAACTTGAGTCAATCATTAACTGTCTACGACTAATTGGTCTAGTAACCTGTATGGCCAAAAGGGGACGCAACTTGAGTCAGTCATTAACTGTCTACGACTAACTGGTCTAGTAACCTGTATGGCCAAAAGGGGACGTAACTTGAGTCAGTCTCTAACTGTCTACGACTAACTGGTCTAGTAACCTGTATGGCCAAAAGGGGACGCAACTTGAGTCAGTCATTAACTGTCTACGACTAACTGGTCTAGTAACCTGTATGGCCAAAAGGGGACGCAACTTGAGTCAGTCATTAACTGTCTACGACTAACTGGTCTAGTAACCTGTATGGCCAACAGGGGACGTAACTTGAGTCAGTCATTAACTGTCTACGACTAACTGGTCTAGTAACCTGTATGGCCAAAAGGGGACGTAACTTGAGTCAGTCATTAACTGTCTACGACTAACTGGTCTAGTAACCTGTATGGCCAAAAGGGGACGCAACTTGAGTCAGTCATTAACTGTCTACGACTTACTGGTCTAGTAACCTGTATGGCCAAAAGGGGACGCAACTTGAGTCAGTCATTAACTGTCTACGACTAACTGGTCTAGTAACCTGTATGGCCAAAAGGGGACGTAACTTGAGTCAGTCTCTAACTGTCTACGACTAACTGGTCTAGTAACCTGTATGGCCAAAAGGGGACGCAACTTGAGTCAGTCATTAACTGTCTACGACTAACTGGTCTAGTAACCTGTATGGCCAAAAGGGGACGCAACTTGAGTCAGTCATTAACTGTCTACGACTAACTGGTCTAGTAACCTGTATGGCCAACAGGGGACGTAACTTGAGTCAGTCATTAACTGTCTACGACTAACTGGTCTAGTAACCTGTATGGCCAAAAGGGGACGTAACTTGAGTCAGTCATTAACTGTCTACGACTAACTGGTCTAGTAACCTGTATGGCCAAAAGGGGACGCAACTTGAGTGCACACAACCTGGCCACAATCCGTTACAGTTTAGTGGAGCAGATGATTTAAGAGAACAATGTTTGGCTTAGGCATATAGTGTACCAAATATTTTAAACTGCATGAACTAGACTGCTACAATAAGAGGCTAAACGTGAGAGTTAGCTCCGTGAGTGAGTTATTCACGCCCTAGTGACGGCTATACAATGAAAGCGGCGTGTGCAGCTGAATGGAGCAATTGAACGAGTCGCCTATTGAGGTATTTGTATCCAATGGTCCATGCCATAATCCCCGACCTTTGATCTCCGGCCTTTAATACAGTGCGAAGCTTGTCTCGGTCAACATAATGGACTAGGGTACCAAATATCAAAAGCGGCGGTGAAAGCTGTAAGTTGGTGTACTAGACCCAGGTGACGTTTTGCTGTGACGTAGTACTCAATTACTGGATTCACTGCTGGATCATGAAAACAACCCTAGCATGTTTGTAGGACTGGTCTCAAGATCCCTGGCCAAGAAATAGAATCTAGAGTTTACTATTTATTT